CACGGCGGCCAACAGATGCAACAACAGCGCGGCGCAGACATCGAGCTCGACATTGAGGCCACTCTCAAGGACCTCTACGTGGGCCGCACCACACACGTCACACACAAGAAGCAGATCCTATGCCACAAGTGTCGCGGCACTGGTGCCAAGCGCGCAGAGGACGTCACAGTGTGCACGGGCTGCAATGGCTCGGGCATCAAGACCAAGATCCAACACCTTGGACCAGGCTTTGTACAACAGATGCAGACCACATGTGACGAGTGTGGCGGCAAGGGCAAGAAGGTCACCAGCAAGTGTCCACACTGCAAGGGCAAGAAGGTGGAGATTGGCGAGGAGACCTACACCATCTACATCGAGAAGGGCATGGCCGACGGCCAGACCATCAAGCTGGACGGCATGGCCGAGGAGGCGCCCGACACCACGCCCGGCGACGTCATCTTCAAGATCGTCCAGGTGCCACACCCCCAGTTCACGCGCGCCGGCGACAACCTGCACTACCGAATGGCCATCACTCTGTTGGAGGCACTGACAGGTTTCGACAAGACCATCGAGCATCTCGATGGACACAAGGTGCGTGTGCATCGCGAGACAGTCACACGACCAGGATTCGTCATGGACATTGAGCACGAGGGCATGCCCCATCACAGTTTCCCATCGCAGACCGGAGCACTCTACATTGAGTTCACCGTCATCTTCCCAACAGAACTGACCGCTGAACAACAATCAGCATTCAAGAAGTTACTTTAGGAAGTGAGCAGGGGGACTATTCCAGTTCTGGTCTCTATCATTCAATAAATATATATAAATATTACGATCAATCAATCAAGTCCATCCCAATTGGAATGGCGACACCTTCTTACCCCCATTGACATCATAGGGCATCGTGTGACGATGGGTGTCTGTGGACCTCACACAAGTTGAAAAGCACCCCCATGAGGCCATCAACTCCAAAAAAATCTTCTTTGAAGGGGTCCACGATCAAAACCAATGCAAATCTTTGCAAAGATTTATGGCACAACCAGTGTCCATTTTTCAACGCCAGCCATCATTCATCCATCCCATCAATCAATCAATCTAACAAACACACAATAATAATAATAATTAACATATTGTTGTTGTCTCTATTTATCTATCTCTTTTTCACTTGCAGTATAGTTGGCAATTGACTTGCTTGTTCAACACAGGTACACACAAGACAGGACAAAGCAAACATTGGTCGGAAACACGACCAGCACCAACACCAACATCCAACACATCAACACAACTTTACAATAATAGCATAGCATAGCTCTTGTTACAGGGGCCAACTACTGCCGCGGACTCCACACAATCAATCAATCAACATATCAATCAATTGAAACAAAACCATGTCCACAAACAAACTTCCAGCAACGCCAAAGTATTCCAATGTACGTATATTAGATCAGACCATACTGGACGACACAACAAAGTTATATATAACTTACAATTTGAATGTACATTAGACAATAGGCAATCAACAACAACAGCATCTGAGTAGAAGTGCATCATCAAACACATTGGCAGCACCAACTCAAACACAAACTCAAACACCAACACCAATAACACCATTGTTACCAAAGTCACCTGATCGCCAAACTCAATTACAGAGAAACCCAAGCAGTGGAGGACTACTGCAACCTGTTGTACATTTATCAAAGTCGTCATCATCGACATCAGTTGGATCAGTCCAATCACCAGCGATCTGTGTGAGTGGCGGCAGCGACACACACCATATGCAGACCAACAATCATTATCGACTTGCCAGCTCTGGCTCATTGCCTCCACGTCCAAACACTACTACCAACGGCAGCAGCAGTAGTAACAGCAGTGGTACATCATCCCCATTGAGCCAATCACAAAAGGCTCCTGTGCATAGGAAGCCCTTGCCCAGCATACCTCAGTCGGCATCAAGCAACAGTCTGATGGGCGACGACCAGGGCGAGCAACGCGCCAGCAACACACACAACAGGCCAGTGCCAAATCCCCCAACAGCAAAGGGCGGATACGAGCCCCAGCCACCATCAGCCACGGCACACATCACAGTTGATTTGATTCCTCATGACTTTGGCGCGGACACATCGTCGGCACACCCATCACTGGACCACCTGGCGGCATTTACATCATTGCGCGACCTCAAGGCAAAGGAGATATTGACGACAGAGAGGACATATTGTGATAACATGCGTATACTTGCCGAGGTATTCCTGCCGCCACTCAAGTCTGGCGAAGTTGCCATACCAACAAGAGAGGAGATCTCCAAGCTATGTTCTAACATCTCACACATACTCTCATTCTCCAAAGAGCTACTAGAGAGACTAGAAGAGAGACTAGCAGCATGGTCCACCACACAACGTATTGGTGATGTATTTAAACAATTAGTATGTTGTTATCTTCAATCATTCAATCAATCAATCATGTTGGACGTCACTCATACTCACATCCATCCTCGCTCGTCACTCGCGAATAGATACCATTCCTCAAGATATATACAAACTACACAGTTGGCTATGATAACCTTATGAATGTATTATTGGAACTCGAGAAGAGTTCAAGCTTTGTATCATTTCTTCAAGTATGTGTCATGTGACCATAGGACCCAGGCCTAAGCCTCGCACCCAACTCACACTCTTACATCGATCAAACAACAGAAATGCTTGGACGATCCACGAACAAGGAAGATGGACCTTAGATCATATTTGATCCAACCAGTCCAGCGTATAACAAGATATCATATGTTGTTGGATGAGCTACTTAAACATACCAATCCTACACATCCTGATTACCTTGACCTCGAGAAGGCTTTGGCCGAGATGAAAAAGGTAACCTCAGAGGCCAACGAGGCCATCAAGAGAAGTGAAGCACGAGCCAAAGTCCTTGAAATCCAGAAGTTATTCGTAGGTGATGTTGACGTATGTATATCCTTCAATGATCATTCCACGGCCCCGCCACATCACTCACTAACTCCATCACTCAATCAATCGATCAATCAATCAAAGTTGGTCGCACCTCATAGGTTCTTTGTGTATGAGGGTGTGTTGACAAAGGTGTGCAGGAAGGCTTGCAAGAAGAGATTCGTATTCTTGTTCTCGGATATGTTGGTGTACGGCTCGTCCATCCCACCAAAGTTGCTGATGCACGAGAAGATCAATCTGGATCATTGTAGAATTGAAGATATACCAGATGGAGACAGTGGTGGCAGCAGATCAATCTCACTCAATGGTGCACTCATCACCAATGCCTTCCAAATATGCAGTGACAAGAAGTCATTCATTGTATTCGCTGACAATGCCGAGAGCAAGATGAAGTGGATGTTAATGTTGACTCAAAGTGTATGTTATATAGTTTTCCGGTTTTATGGGGTATGATTCCAATCACTCACTCACTCAATCAATCACTCAATCAATCCAGATTGAAGCAATCCAGACAAAGAAATCAACATTGAAATCAGGTCCTGGATCAGCATCAAAGTCGGAAGCACCAGTTTGGGTACCGGATGAGACAGCCACCAACTGTCCATTCTGTACCGAATCGTTCACTTTCATGAATAGAAGAGTATGTACACACCAGGTCCCTTCTTCACCAATTCCCCAATACTAATCCATTCCATTCATTCGATCAATCAATCAATCAAACCCATACATACACATACACTATACAGCATCACTGCAGGAACTGTGGAGCACTGGTTTGTGGCAAATGTTCAGAGAAAAAGCTCAAGCTACCAGTAACCGATTACAAACCAGCTAGAGTGTGTGATACATGCTTTGAAAAGGCCAACAACAATAATGGTGTTGTTGTCAATCAATCATCTAGCAGCACCAACAACACAAGTACAACAACCACTTCTAGCCAACAACATCCAAACAACCAACGATCTTCTGGTTGATCAATGAATGATTGATTGAATTAATTAAAATGGCAATATATCATTAAAGAACTGGAAACCCATGCAATTAAAGGGTCATGGCTCCACAACAATAACCAGTCCACATTCATCTACATCTTTATCCACAACACGACACAACATACTCACCCTCATCCCCCACTACAACACAACAACAAATAATACCAATGATATGGCCTCAATCAATGGCCCTGATCGTGATGTTGATCGTGATGGTGATCACAAGATGACTAGGGTGTATATACTGGAAAGGCAATCGATGACAGCCTACTCTGTGAATCACAGATGGACCACCACGTTGTGCGAGGCACGTACCCACAAGCGGTAACACTTATTATCAAGTACTCTCACTGATTGGTGATGGGAGAGCCACAATCACCACTACCACATTTGATCAAAGCCTCCATCCAACAGTGTTGTTTGTGGAGGGGTCTGTTCATTCATTCCGACCCCACTAACACTATACCACTACATATATATACATACATATAACATGTATATCTCTTTATGTTTATTTGTGTTAAATGTCAACACACACACAACACAACCCACCACTCTAACAATGAATGAATGAATGAAAGGTGGCGCCTCATTAATCTACCAATCACCTGCAAACCACTTATTTCTAAGTCTGAGTGGTGCCGTCAAGTAGACTAGTTGTACAACAACAACTACTACACCTACATCACCACCCCCCTTGTATATGTCTGTGAGAGGTATGGTGGTTATGATGTGTCAACCCAACAGACCATTCTTAATCAAGTGGGTTGTTGCCTGCCATCCAGCAGCCAGGCAACCTGCATGCCTACGTTACCCTTAATCACTATTACTGATAAACATAAAGGAAACATAACCATTATTAGACGTTGAATAATTATTCAAACTATTATTACTTCCTTCCCTTCCCTCCCTTCTTTCCTTACTTCATTCCTTCCTACACCTCATCATTCACATAACAATCCATTTATTATTCATTGTTGTTGGCGCCACACTATCCCTCTCTTTACTGACTTATAAACCCTTCAACAACATCATCATCATTATCTTTATAATAGCTCCATCCCTTTATCAGTCTATTACTATAAATAACCAATTTCTACAACTTCAATTACTACCATATATATACTTAAACACCTCATTTTTTATTCTGTCTTTTAATCCAAGTTACATTCATTCATTCATTCATACATTCATACAATATCCTTCTTATACACAATGCCACCAATATTAGAGAAACAAATGATGCCTACATCACCAAAGGAATATATTGATTCTGTTCTACCTTCTGGTGTACCAAAGATGGAATATATTATGGAGAAACATAGATCATCATCAGTAGAATATGTAAAGGAATTAGATGTAAGTATTCAATAAGATTAACCATTCATTCCATCACTCTGTTATTATTATACTAATATATGAATTATTTATTACTTTACAATAGCCACCCGAGAGGATTAAATCAATTCCAAGATCGAATACTTTGCCAAAGACTATATCATGTAATAATTGCAAGAAGAACTGTTCATTTGAGAAGATATCACCTTGTGAACGTTGTGGCAATGGTGTCTACTGCTCAAGTGAATGCAAGTTTGCTCATTGGACATTCCATCGCAAGACATGTAGAGATCTGGGCATGGTCATCAAGATGAAGAGAAAGACTATATAGTTTATTATTATTACTTTATTACTTTATTACTTTTATTATATATACACCATTCATTGACATGTCTTGTAGACATACACGAATACGAACAATAACATGGTCATTTCCAACTTGGATGACAACCTTATATACAAATAAACTGGTATACCCGATATTTATTACCAACATCTGATTAATTGGATTATTAGGCAAAGGCGTTGTCCTCTGATATCTTGGACATATCAGTATTGTTCTTCTTCTTGTTCTTCTTGTTCTTCTTCTTCTTCTGAGGTGCTTGAGGTATTATGTTCTTTGGTTGTACATGTTGGAATGGTTGTTGTTGTTGATGTTGTTGCTGGTGACCTGGTTGTTGATAATGTTGTTGATGTTGTTGTTGTTGTTGTTGTTTAGGTTTCGTTTGATTGGATAATGAGAAGGTATTACTATTGTTGTTGTTGTTATTGTTGTTGTTGTTGTTGTTGAAGTTGTTGATGTTGCTGTTGTTGAAGCTGGGAGGAAGGAAGAAATTGGTAAAGTCACCTGGATCAGCCCTCCTCTTCTTGGAGTTGCCTTGTTCTGGTCGCAATAAAAGTGGTTGTTCATCTGATGATGGATATTGATCTACATTGATAACATCATCAATATACATTGGAGTATTATCATCAATGATAATTGGTGTTGTGTCAACATATGGTGTACTACTGCTACTGTTACTACTACTGTTGTTAAAGTTGGAGGAGTGAGTATTCTGTTGTTGATGAGCGGAAACAGATGTGGATGATGGTGAAATGGCAGACGATACACTCGACGCCACGTTATCATTGACCTTGTTGACAAAGGCAAAGATATCGTTGATGGTGGAGTCTGGAGTAAGTGAAAAGAGATTGAACGCCTTGTTGAAGGAGTAGAAGTAGTTGGTGTGCTTGACCATCTGCACCTCCTTGGCGCTGTATATGAAGTTGAGGTCGTGGAACAACTTCTCAACCGAGTCCAGGAAACGGAACGTGTCGTCCAACGACAACGGGTCCTGGTGCGCCCACATGTGGCGCGTCTTGTGGATCTCATTGATGAGACCCTTGAAGGTGTGCGCCTGCTCCGGCTCACAAAAGAAGCGCGACCCCTTGAGGAACGAGCAAATGGCAGAGATGTCCCAGTGGTCCAAGCTCAGTGCACCAGCCGGTCCCTTCTTCTGCGTCCTCAGAATCATATTCTGGTGATCCAACATTGCCCTCCTGGCCGCTGTTTGTTCAGCGGCCGTCATCGTACTCTTGTCGCTAAGACAGTGATCTATGTGTTTGGTAAGTTTCTCACGACACAATGCCAATGCCTTGCCTACAACATTCTGATTGGAACCAACTCCCCATTCATTCAAATCAATCTTAATAGGATCAGTACTTTGTGGTTCCTGATAATATTGTGTTCTAATAATTGATTGTTGTTGTTGTTGTGACGGTTGTTGTTGTTGTTGTGTCCTGTTCGACCCGAATTGATAAACAATGTTATTATCTTGTTGAGGTCTATATTGTTGTTGTTGTTGTGATTGTTGATGATGTTGTATCTGTTGTTGTTGATACTGCTGTTGTTGTGACTGATGATGGGTCTGAGCAAGCAACGAATTATATTGATTGGTACCAATTGTATTATTAAATGGATTAACCGATGCAATACTATTCTTGTTGTTGTCAATAACAGTGTTGTTATAACTATTATTATTACCCATCATCGAATGATGTCCTCCACTACCTATTGTAGTTGTAGAGGTCATATTCGCACCTACAGCAGCAGCATCACCAAAAGGATTTGCATTCATCATCATATTATTATTATCAATGTTAATGTTGTTATTGTTATTTGATTGAAATCCCCACCACATTCTACTGTTATTGTTCTGTTGTTGCTGTTGTTGTTGTTGCATCGTCAAATATGATATCATATGTATGTATATAAATAATATGTATAACAAATAATTATAAGTTAGTGAACGTTAATTAATGAATGAGACAAGGACAAGAATGAACGTTTTGAAGTTGAGAATGTGCTCGAAGGTGGTGATTCTTTCAAAAAAATCAAACAAATAATAGTAGATAAATAATTAATTCCCAAAATGGTCATTATTATAATCAATCAATCAATTAAATATTAATATTTATTGTTGTGATTGGTATAGATCCTTGATTTGTTGCTTGGTTAGACGGAAGTTTGGCTTTCTAACATTGTCGGCAAAGTCACTGAGCAGGAGACACCAGTCGGGGAAGAGTGGACCGGATTGAATGCCACGATTGGCAATGTGGCACGAGAATGGATTGAAGCGAGCCAATGCATTGTTGACATCGGTCACGGATACATCGGACCAGAGACGCTCGGCGATCGCAACGGTACGTGGGAAGACACGCACGTCAAAGTCACGCTGGTCCACCTGCTCGCCCCACATGCACGCCTCACCACCAATCACATAGTCGGCATTGGTCGTGATCTGGTATTGTGGGTCGGAGACGGCCGAGTAAAAGTCCTGCCATGTGTCCTCAAACTCATAGTGCGACACGCCAATTGGGCTCTGCATGTCGAGGTAGTAGCTGAACGAGGCCACTGCGCGCAGCTTGTCGTTGACGATCTTTTGGAGGTCGCCAAACTGCCACACCTGGATGATGGTGTCGCTGCGGATTGGACATCCGTTGGCCCATGGGTCCTGCCAGATCATCTTGGTCCTCTGATTGTTGTCGAGAATGCCGGTGATCTTGTCCTGGAAGTAGGTCTCGAGGTCGGTGTAGCTGTCGAGCTTGTTGTCCTTCATGAAGGCAGTGATGGTGGGGTCCTCCTGCCAGCAGGAGTAGGGCACCTCGTCACCGCCGCTGTGGAACACAGTGTCGATGAACATCTTGGCCATGTCGGTGTAGACGGTGTTGATCACCTCGTAGGTGAGGTCCAATGCTGGGGTCATGGGCATGCCGTCAAGGTCGGTGTATGATGGGCACACGGCCATCACCTCGGGGAATGCCTTGCTCCAAGAGAAGGTGTGGGCTGGGACGTCAAACTCGGGAACGATACGTACTCCCCATGACAGACCATAAGCGACAATCTCTTGGATCTGATCAGGAGTGTACATTGCAACTTCATTATTGTAGAAGGCACCCAACTCAGTGATGTTCATCATCGATGGCACTTGAGCAGAGAATGACTCGGCATCGACCACATGCCAATGAAGTACGTTCAACTTGTTATACGCACAGGCTTCAATAATGTGCAACAAGAAGTTGGTTGGCATGAAGTGGCGACCCTAGATAGATGTGATTGGTTGAATGAGTGAGTGATCGGAATAGTTCCATTTAGTGAAAGATAGAACTTACAGTGTCAATCTGAATACCTCTCCATGGGAAACGAGGGTAGTCATCGATTTGGATTGGTACGTTGGCAATGGTGTAAGTGTTGTTGTTGAGATCGTAGGAGATGAGTTGAGAGAAGGTCTCAAGGGCATGCATGGCACCAAACACAGTGTCGGCAGTGATGGTCATGTCATAGAGTGAGTTGACAGAGAGCGTGTAGTTCTCGCTGATGCCCAACTGCAGCACCTCGGACTCGCTGCCAACCTTGATGATGAGTGTGGCGTTGGAGTCGCCAGAAGTACCAGCACCCGGACCAAAACTAAAGAGCAGCTGTCTGTAACGTTCGATGGCTCCTAGCAGGATTGAGGAGGTGGACGATGTCTCGATCGAGAATTGGCTTGGACTGACCTGCATCACTTCGGAGCCGAATGTCAATGACCTTGGCTGAGGTACCAAGTGTGGTCCATCGATAGGAGGTGGGATGGCACACATAGCAACAGTGGCCATCATCAGGCACAAGACCATCATCAACACATTCTTTGATTGTCTAAACATGATTGATTGTGTTTTTGTTGTTGAAGTTGTATGTGTTTGATTGATTGTTTGATTGGTTGGTTGAATGATGAGATGGTAAGTGTTGTTCGACTCCTACATTACTCATCGTAGAACACAACAGTGATCACTATGTTACCGATACCGGCTTCAGATATTTTGTCAGTTTCAACATCGACATCAAAGGGGGATTCTATTGCTTTTTTGGTTTTGATTGTGTTTACAAGTCCTTTCAAATTCCGAAAAAGGTTACATGTTTATTGGTAGTTCAATGAGATATTATGTGGTCGTTGTTGGGTTTTGGGTCTGGGACTGGTTGCAGATGTTGTCCACTCAAAGTATGATATTGTTAAAAGATTTTAATTATTAATAAAATAGATACAGAGTGCCACTACTATTACATGAAGTCTAATCTGAATTCCAAGCCAATTGTAACATCTACACCTCGAGTATCAGATGTTGAGGTGTTAATGTCTGAGTGGAAACAGATTTATAACCTTCATTGACTTGGTTATTGTTGTCCAATTGGATAATAGGGATGATCCCAAAGAGTTTAGATAGTGATTCTAGAATTATCATCAATATTAATATTGATTTATTGATAAATATATATTATTTACTTACTATATAGCATGGTTATTATTTTTGTGGATTAACAAATAAATATATTACAATTAGATAAAAAAAATGACCGACGATGGTAGTGTTTGGTGGTTGATTAATTAATTAATTGCCGATTGATTGATAGGTGATCAGTAGTCACTTGTGGAGTTTATCATATATTATTTCTGTATTATTTATTAATTAATTTAATAGAGTGAAGATCAGTGATATTGTTACGATGATCCATGCACTTCCAGTTGATAGGATGCCACCGGCACTTGGCTTGTTGGTGGTGGTGGTGGTCGTTGGTGTCAGAGTTGGATTGCTCGAGGTGATGTTGGGCAGAGGTGGTGAAGTGGGCACCACTGGCACGTTCGATGGCGGACTGGCGAACAGCAGGCGATCACAGAACGTGTAGCTCTTGTCTGGACAGTAGACGGTGACGCCTGACGAGGTGAAGCTGGGTGTGTTGGCACAGCTGTTCCATTCGCCATTGACCTGGATCATCAGTGTGTTGTCCTCGCTACACTTTTGTGGATAGCATGTTGGACGCACGGGGCTGCCGCTGGTAGCCTGCGAATCAAAGCATCGCGACTGTGGTCCAAACTGTTCGTACTGTGATGTATTCTTCACTGTGACATCCGAGCAATAATAGTTGGAATTCAAGAAGACGACGTCGTTCGACACACAGTAGTCCCTGAAGGGGAGGTAGAAGCCAAGGTAGGGACTCTGAGAAAAGTGCTGTTCGTATGGCTTGAGCTCGTATGTGCCAGAGTAGTTGCGGGCTGCCCACGTTCCCACGCCTGACCTGGTGGCAGTGCATCCGTAGGTAGAGTACTTGGAGGTGGCAGCGGTATCATTCCAGTAGCCGGTGAAGTTCCATGTGGCGGGACTGCATGGCTCCATGGCAAAGGCGCAGCCCTTGTTCCTGCCCCAGACCAATGGGTCGACGCCCGTGAGGTTGGACAGTCCCCACCATCCACTGTCATAGAGTGCGGCCAATGTCAGGTTGGAGAGCGGGTAGACGGGCAGGGCAAAGCCGAGCATGATCTCCTCACCAAAGGCTGTGGCCTTCCAATGACTTGAGGTGTTCGAGCCACGGTTCTCCAGCTCGGCGCCGGGCATTTGATCGCAGTTGAAGTGCGACTTGGTGATGGCCAACACTGTGGGCGAGGAGAGGAAGTAGCGTGGGCGCTGGTATGATTCGCCAGAGGGTGTCATGCCATTGTATAACTGTGTGGTGACGATGGGGTAGCTGTACTTGGCGCGAGTCGAGCGGTCTAGGTAGTTCTGGAAAAGATACTGCGAGAAGCCGAGTGCGTGCACGCTCTCATGGATACTGACGCCGAGGAACGACATCCAGGTCTGGCCAGAAGTGCCAGATTTGGCAAAGGCGGCAAACTTGAGAGGGTTGAAGTTGAGGAAACCGGCAGCGGGGCCGTCGTCTTCAAAGAGGGCGCACAAGCCTCCGGTGGCTATTACGCTTGGGAAGTTGGGATGCGCAGTGACGTAGAGTGCGTAGTCGCCGCTGAATCCGTTGCGCTGGTCGATGATAATGCGCGTGTCGTCGCACTCCACAATCTTGAAGATGGTGGTAGTATCGCTGCCATTGGTGGTGAGGTAGTGGGTGAATGTCTGGAGAATTGTCGGCATAATCGTCTCCTTGATGAGCGCCACAAGCTCCGGTGTGATGACGTCCTCGGCGGTACAGGTCCATGTGCATGGCACAAAGGACTCATCGTCCATCTTGCAGGCGCCACGTGATGCGCCCTTTCCAATGGCCACTGTCTGGCCCACGCTATAGCATGCTGATGGCTGCGAGCCATTGTTCAGGTAGGTCGTGTTGAGCATGATTCTGACTGGGTGTGGCTGCACCTCAGCCACGGCGGCCATCGAATGCCTCTCGTAGTTGACGCTCTTGAGGTTGGCCGCCACAGACTTGGAGCCCGGCAGTATGTTTATATTTGACTCGTGATAGTGAGAGTGAGAGTCATGGGTGCACTTGTGTCCGTTATGTTCGTGGTAGGTGGATGGGTGGCGTCCAGACTGATCAAGTTGATTCAGTGCACGGACATAACTATCGATGTAAGGTTGAATGTGTTGAGTGTTTGGTGTGATGCCCAGTGAGTAGCATTGACTGATGGCCAACACCAACACCAACAACACCAACTTTGAAGATATAGTTGTCTTTGTTGTTGACATTATTGTTAATACATGTATATATCTAGATGGATGGATGTGGAATGAATGAAAGAATGGAGGGAAGATTAATGATTGTGATTTGTTGTAGTTAAGGTCCAAAATTGGAGGCCCTTCGTCCCTTCATCACCCGCAAGGGTTTACCCACATCCCTTGGAATCTTGATATTTATTTGTTTGGTCCACCTTTCATTACATGACCCCGTCTACAACCATCTAATGATCACGACATTGTTTTGCCAACTGAACTGTTGGAAGTTCAAATATTTACTGTAGCATTGGTTGGTTTTGGACTGATGTATTGGTGGATGGATGGTTGATGGATTGCTGGCTGGATTCCTGTTTGGCTAGTTCTACAAAGTATTGTTGTGTATGATTGAATGAATGATTGATTGATTGTATGACTACATCACCATCACCATCACAACCCTTCTTAGGGTGTTTGTGTTAGCATTGATTGGACTGGTGTGGAGGAGAGTGGAGTGAGTGGATTGGTATGTGGCGTGCTGGATGAGGCGGACAACTCATCATCACCTTCGGTGATGACAGAGTCAGCATCGTTGTTGGCCTCGGCCAACGCCTTCATCTGGTCCTCGATGTTCTTGGTCACCTGCTTCTGAAGATCCTCAATATCGCTGTCTACATCGGCACCTGACTCATCATCAGAGTCGTAGTCCTCTGCATCGCTGGCGGCGCCGCCATGGGCAGCCTGCTTGGTGATGTTCTCGGCTGATGGAGATCTGCGCAGTGTTTGTGTGGAGGAGATGTGTGTCTTGGTGGACAGTTTGTTGGCCACAAGCGACATGAGTGTCCTGGGTGGCGAGAGTACGACTGAGTGTTTGTAGTCCTCTGGCGGCCACTTCTCGTCGGGTGCTCTCAGCTTGTGACGCGCAGTGCCATTGGAAGACATGGTGTTGCTGAATGACAATGTGATGGGGTAGTAGCGCTGGATTGAATAGAGGTTCATCGTTGAGAGATAGTCGTTGCCGATCTTGATGCCCACGTTGATATCGGCTGTCGGCTGCCATGGCAGGATCTTGATGACTGGTGGGTTGACCTTTGAGGTATCGGGAGCAGGTGTCTTCTTGTTGAGGAACCTGTCGCAAGCGGCCACCATCACAGCGTCGTTAGCCAGCTCAGAGTCCTTGCGCAGCTGTGTCACAGCGTCCCTGTCGTTGAGCAGAATGGAGATTTGTAGCAGGTAGATGTGCTCGCCCAGGATGGCAAAGCATTCGCGAGCCAACTGGTAGTAGCCTGCGTTCATACACTCACGGCCAAAGTCGCGAATATATTCGTTGAGCTTGGACAGCTGGCGACGTTCTGCTGGGTCCTGCGAGGCTTGAGCGCCACGCGCCGCCTTGTTCTCCTCGGCCAGGTAACGATAGGCATCGACGTACTGCTTGCTCTGCCACGCCAGACGGAACTTTTCCAGTGGAGACAACTTGCTCTGGCAGGTGCGCATCTGGTGTGCCAGGGAGTAGGCCAGATCGGTGAAGCCTCTCTCGCGCAGACGGTCGAGTATGAAGCGTGAGGCACGAGTGTGATCAAAGTGCGACACAAGGTTCTGGAGATAGAGTCCAATCGTACGCTTGTCTGGACACAATGAGGCAGGCAATGCGAGCAGGCCGGCCACCAGTGGCTCGAGCAAGCCCACCGACTGGCAGTGGATCGTGGTCTCGGTACGGCCCGGCACAGTAACGCCGGCGTATCCATACAGCATTCTATCGGGTAACACGCTCGCCAGGTAGATGGGTGAGATACTGAGCGAGAGGATTGGACGTGGAGGGAGATTGTGCTGCATGGTCAGGTACATTAGATGAGTGGGCGTTGTGTAGAGAAGCGTCCATTCCAGCCAGTAGATGCTGCCAAAGTAGCGGCTCTCTGCGCGGTGGCCGGGTGGCACGGATATCTGTGTGATCACCGAGAGCTTGGCGTTGGTGATTATGATGCGCTGGTCGGTCATGATGGCGCAGACACTGGTGTTTGTCTTGGGGTCGGTCTGCCACTCGACTCTGAGCACCGTCTCGGCGCGATTCAGATGCAGCGCAGACGATTGGTCGACGATGTAGTTGTCGGCGGCGCCCTGGTTAATGTTCTTGGAGAAGTAGATCGCCGATGTGTCATGGCTGTAGTACATGACGACGCGACTGTCGTTCAGCGGCGTCTTGTATACTGAGGTGACGCGAGGTGCCAAAGGATGAGATTTGAACGAGGAGATGCCTTGGGCTGTGGCACTGGCGATCTTGGCCAGCTTGCCGTCCAGGCCGAGGATCAGAATTTGTGTTGGCGATGTGCCAAGCATCACAGCATCGATACCATCGCCCTGTTGACTAATCATTCCGGCCACATCGCATATCAAATATTTGCTCAACATTGTCTGTGTCGCCATCGAATAGCTATCATATATCAATGTCATCAACTGCAAGTCTGGATTGAACGTGAAGCTCTTTGGTTTACATTGTTCGTCCTGAGCCTAATTGATTGATTGATTGAATGAGGGATGTATGAGTATGTGCTTGGGGATGTTATGGCCTTGACTAGATTACTTACAACTGGGATCAAGGGTGATGGGACCAACTTCTTGGATACACCGTTGAGTGGCTGGTAGGACTTGACGAATGTGCCGTCAAAGTAGGTGAGGTCGGCAGGGTAGTTGAATGTGTGATCGGGTGTGAAGAAGAAGCCAAGGGGCATGCTGGTGGAGGACAGGAGTGGGAAGGTCGACTGCAAGCTCTCGAACGAGTTGATAGAGTATATGAACTGATTGATGTGACGCACGCCATTGAGCGAGGCACTGGCATGGTAGAACAGGTCCCACTGGAAGGTGAAGTAGTTGCGCGTTGGATGGAAGATGACGTTGGTGGGCGTCAGTCGTGGCAGTGTGAGTGGCTTGGCATATTTGGACAGATAGTTCAACGTGTCATTGTTCACTGTCGGTGAGAACGATGACATCCTCATCGATGGCACCACCGATTTTGATTGAGTGTTCACCTCCCATGCCGACAGCTCTTCGACACCCTGTGGATTGACCGACAGCACAAAGAACACTGGCAAGTGAGGATGATGTACCAATGACAAGATATTGTGTCCTTTACAGATGAAGCCACTGTTGTTGGAAGTAAGTGTGAGCGAGGCGAGGCCAGGTCATTCGTTGATCATGTTGTGTACTTACTTGGCCAATATCTCTGGTGTGGACGAGGTGGAGATGTCGCCATAGACGATGGTGAGACCGGATGAGCCGGTCATGACCATGTACTTGCCAGCGGTGGCCTCAAACATGAGGAAGAAATTGGTCGAGTGCTCAATGTTGCGCGTGTTCTCATATGATACAAAGTCCTCAAGGTGCAAGCTGGCCATCTGTGATCTCGTCTCCCAGATCTTCAACGATCCATCCACACTAACAGATGCCAATATGAACTTTGTCGGATGATGAGCCAGCGATGACAGTGGCCTCTTATGTCCCTTCAACTTATAAGGTATAGGTGACTTGTTCTGACAATCAACAGCTGTTGAGTGGAGTGAGCGAGTGAGTGAGTTAGTACATCATCGATCGATCAATCAACCATCATTCAATCAATTATACAACATACCAACGATGTCTTTTGAGTTGGTCTTGGAGAAGAAGATGATGGCACGATTGACAGAGTTGGCGCGACAGGTGATGATTCGAGAGTCGAGCTGCTTGAGTGGATGTACAATCGTCAACAGTTTGTGTGTGTCCGTGTCCCAGAGATAGATGAGTCCAGCATCGCACAGTCCCACCAATATCTTGCTACTCGTCGAAGCTAGTACAAGTGAACCTGTACCATTATTATTGAGTATGATCAAGTTCCTTATCACCTCCTTTGGATCAACTGATATCTTTCCTGTATTACTCTGTGTCAACAAGTCGTATACTATGTGAATGTACATGCGCGAGTGTCAGTCAGTCAGTCGGTGTCAGATGATCAAACGATTGAATGAATGAAAGACATACTGTATATCTCATTACGAACAGAGACGTAGACGACGGGCGCGGTGGGGTGGAAGCAGACACCGTTGAAGACGGGCGCACTACCATGTCCGGATGAGGAGGATGAGTCGCAGTTGCTGTTTGAGGCGGCGCCGTGTGAGGCGAACTGGATGCCAGGATGATTACCCGAGCCTGAGCCGATGGACAGGGTGGACGAGTCGCTGAGTGACATCGTAGTCGATGTGGGCGATGACTGTGACACCTGGCCCAGTGAGCCGACACCGCCTCCACTCGCTCCACTACCAAGTGACTGTGGTGAATGATGATGATCTGTGTTGGCTGCAGCGGTCTGTGCCGCACCATTCATTACAATCTGTGTATCTACATCAGTAATCCTATTAACAGATGACGATACAATACTATGATATGCAGTCGACTGATTATTAGGTATCTTTATGTTGGTACTAATTCCAACTTTCAACATTATTGTTGTTCTGTTTGATTGATATTATGTTTGATTGATTGGTATTATTGTTGTTTATATCTAATATATTGTTGTCTTGAATATCTGTTGATTATATCTGTAAATATAAGAGTGTGTGAGAGATAGAGATAATGAGTCGACTCAAGACAAAGCACAACAGATACACAAGATCACAAGGAGTTAAAATGGATGTTTGCTGCAAAAGACTTTGAAAAATTGGTGTTTTTTTGGTGGTTTTGAATGATTGTTCATTCAGTGAAGAACAGTGATGATGAATAGATCGACCCCTCGATCAATCAAATAATCAATAATTAAAGAGTCTTAAGTGTTGTTAATTAATTAATATAATATAGATATTATTGTATCGACTTCAATATATGTGATCTATTTATATGTTCAAGGAGCCAAAGATTCGTTGACTTCACAAAATCCACCAAAGTCCAATTTTCGTCAATGTACTTCGCTTTTCACACTTCTTCACTCATTCATTCAATCATTCATTACATACATAAACATATAAATAAATATATATACATATTATAATATAATACAGAGAACATGTCAGAGTTTGGAAAAGCAGGTGGTGGAGGATTACAGAGTTCACAATATGATAATGTAGATAGACGTGAACGATTGAAACAGATCGCTTTGGACATGGTCGACGTGTCAAAGGATCCATATATCATATCAAATCATCTGGGAACTTATGATTGCAGACTCTGTCTGACCGTACACAATAACATTGGCAACTATCTAGCGCATACACAAGGAAAGAAGCATCAGACCAACCTCGCACGTCGAGCTGCGCGCGAACAACGCGATAACCCTGGTACAGGCAGGCTCTCAACTCTGTAACTATCTCGTCACTCATTGAATGATTGATTGATTGATACTAACATACTCATGCACGCATGCACGCACAAACACATGTAGGTCAAGACCAAGGATCATACCAAAGAAGACTATAAAGATTGGAAGACCTGGATATAAGATTATAAAACAACGCGACCCGGAGACGGGACAGCTGAGTCTGCTGTTTCAGATTGACTATCCAGAGATTGAACCTGGCGTGCAACCAAGGTACCAGTTCATGTCATCGTTTGTACAAAAGATTGAGGTGCCCAACAGAGATGTACAATACCTGTTGTTCGCGGCTGAGCCCTACGAGACCATCGCTTTCAAGATTCCAAACAAGAAGATCGACAGGACCACAGGTCCCGATGGCAAGTTCTTCACTCACTGGGACAGACAGAGATTATCATTTACAGTAAGTAGAGTAATCAAACATCATCATCATTCATTCATTCATTGATTGTTTGATTGTTTGGACCATGTTGCTAACCAATAATAACCATCTCCACTTAGGTTCAACTTTACTTTGAGGAGTCTCACAACATTGAAACTGATGGCAATATCATGAATCCACATCAAGATCGTGTTGAACGTATAATGGAATAAAGAGGCGATGCATTCATGGAAGTCCAAGGTATGGGTGGGTAGTTGGGCAAGGCAAGGGTCATGACCCTGGGTAGGGTAGGTCATGGTATCCATCCTCATTCATTCGAATCACGCAACACACACATAACCCCCCGAGTTGGAATGGGCCACCATCCAATCAATCACTTCATCTCTTGTTTATTTGTTTGATCAATCAAGTTATTTGTTCGTGTGTGTATGTATGTTTGAGTGTGTGATTGAACAGCCAGATCAATCACACAGATATACCTTCTGCACTCCACCACCCACGATCAAACACATCACATTCCAACACATGATAATATTATTATCACGTGATCAAGATAAATGAGATCAACTAACTACCTCTACCTCCTTCTCACACACTCCATCATACTTACAAGTATTATCTATTTTCATTCATTCATTCATTCAGTCAATCAATCAAACAGCCATCATTATATTATATCCAGGAATATAGAGAAATACCAGACTTTCTCCAGAGTTATTCCATGGGACTACTGGTGAAGAAAAAGAAGAGGATAGAGGACCAGTTATTCACATCTCCAACAGTCAATGTATTGTCATTATATGCAATTGGCAATGGAATGTTGAATAATGGTCCATCATCACCTACTTCCCAACAACAACAGCAACAGACACGTGGAGTATTATCAAGACAACAGTCCAATTTCGAACTACTTCCATCTTACAATGGATCACAACTTAGAGATGCAGTAATATCAAAGTCATCATCACTGGGGAGTGTTGGAGACCTGGTCCACAACTCCAACAATATTAATAATAATAATAGTAATAGTAATAATAGAATGATCGATCATACAATAGTCCAGCCACAGGCTCAACAACAACAACAGACACAAGTACAAGTACATATCCAACCACCTCCAAATGAGCTGGCACAACAACAGACAATGTTTGTTAAGAAGGCTATTACAATACCAACTAGAAGAAGAGTTGTTGAAGTGGATCGTCCAAGGAGCATATCAAATGCAGGCGAGGTTGACCTATTCTTCAAGATGAAACAGACAGAGAACCACTATGCACATTCAATCACAAGTGCCATCGCCCCATTTAAATACGTGGACGAGAGAACTAATGATGATGTTTGTATCCATCAATCTATCCATCAATCCAATCAATACTATTAATATTAACCATTGAATGATACCATTATAGGATTCAAAGATGGATGAGTTCAAGGTAGATTTATTCTTTGATGGATACTCAAAGTGGTACAAGGTATGTTTGGTCTTGGCATGGATCGAACAATCAATCTATCATTCATACTAATCAATCATTCAATGAATATAGGATATGAAGAAGAATGTTGGTACTCATTTACATCAGGTTCAATCAAAGGATTCGAATGGCAATAATATTGGAGGCGATGGAAGGAGTGGAGGAGATAGTTGGCTACGTGGAACTCCACTGAGTAGAACTAACAAGTCTCAAGCTCAAGAGGAAGGTGATAAGGACTTTATAAAAAGACATACTACATCAAAGAAGAAGTTAACAACATCGAATAATAACAACTCAACAGCCTCCACTGTAATGATGTTGAATGGAAATCATATGGTACAACATCAATCATCAGATCATGGAGATGGAGCCAATCCAAGGAGGTCAGAGCATAGATATAGCATGTCCATCGCAGACAAGACTTCACGCTTGGTGAGAAGATTGAGTAGCATTCAATCTATAAGAACACAACATAGTCCATCCCAACCTCCAAGTCCAACCAACAACACCAACAATGTTGAGGAACATGATCACCCTACCATCCCAGATCATCCCACATCATCATCAGACCAAAACAACATATCCAACCCCAGTCAGGACGATCACTCAATACCAAGTAGTCGACCTGGAAATGGAAATGGAAATGGAAATGGGACTAACAGCGCCGAGCAACAGACATCAACGACCACGGGTGGATATTCAAGCCTCTCATCATCCTCCAATCAGAACCACAACTTATCACCCAACTCCATCAGGAAGTTGGGAGGCAAGATAATGTCAATATTTGGAAGCAGCAGTTGTGGCAAACACAGGAAGATGGTATCGATCGACTTGACATCAGTGTCCAGTGCTGGTGGTAATGGCAGTCTAGTCTCACCTCCAACATCACTGGCCTCCTCCAACTGTATATCACGAACACATTCACAATCATCCATACTTCAGTACTCACCACGACAGCCAGACACCGAGAGGTGTAGCGCCTCCAACTCTCCACTCAATCGATCGACAACACAGATAACAATCCAGTGCAAGGCTACACCGCGATCATCATACTTCGACATGCCAATACCCAACACATACACGCCTGGCAACACATCACCATATTCTTCGCCACCAATACATTCTGGATACTACAATGGCAATGGTGGAAGTAGTATGCCTGCACTCAATCAAGCACAGATTATCAATCATAATAGACATCATCAGTCCTCACCACAGATGTCATTAACCAAGGGAGGAGATCTAACTGCCAACTTGTTGGATGCCGCCGATGTCATGTGTGTTGACCTTGAGCCTCATCAGAAGGATGCCGCTGACTCGCCACATGGAGTTGAGCATCAGAATGATGATGGAGCGAATGGAAATCGTGATTCAAATGATGGTAGTAGTAATCACATTGATGAGGATGATGACCTTAGTTCCACTTCATTGTCCAGCTCATACTCATCACTCAGCTCACATTCATCATCTCCAGAGCTCACTCCTCCACATAAGACCAATGGATTCTTCAAGACCATTCATGTTCCACAGAAGAAGAGGTTGTCATAAACTGGATGTATGTTTGATTGTAGTAACTGTTCATTATTTTTTGTTGGACAACTGTACAAATGGGGATCATGATATCATTCGTATATATCCTCAATGGCAGGATCTGTGAATGGTGAGGATGGCTTGGCGTCCATCTTTTCAAAGTCTTGTGAGTCCTCATGCTCCTTCTTTAGGGTGATTGACAAGAACTCTGCCTCCTTCTTGATAGTCTCTGTGAGTTCTATTTCCTCCTTGCGAATCTCTTCCTTCAAATGCTCAATATGTCTCTCCAACTCAAGTTCCTCATGGCTCTTCCTTAGAGTGTTGATATGATTGTTGTTACCATTCTTCATATCTTGTTTGTGCTCTACACATATGGATCATGTTAGTTGATTGATTCAATGAACGTCAGGACATAATACCCATACCTCTGTAGTATTGATAAATGCAACCATCGGATATCAATGGTACTAGTATCTTGAGTGCTCTGTTTAGACAGAGATGACCAGAAGAAGTCTTGTTCCATATATGGATAATATTGTAGTCTATTCCTTGCTTCTTACGAATTGATACGCCACAGATATCATCATCGGCGTTCAAATAAGAACTGAACTGTTCACCAATCACAGACAATACCAGTTCATTCCAAATCTCGTCTCTTTCATTCGATGTTAGTTTTAATAAATGATTGTATTGAATGAGTGATGAGAGGATGGATACATTACGTTAGGAACTTCTTCACCTTTAGTATTAATACACCTCCATTCTGATTCTCTGGATCCTCCCTATAATATTGAATTAGTCCACTCATCATATTATATTTATACCACTACAAGACTACTTACCATACAGGCCTAACATCCTTCTTCATTAGATGATAACATGAATTATTGGGTACTTTTGAGAGATTGGGTAGTTTGTTGAACTCTGACCAAAAGTCTTGAACTGATTGGAATGCAGAGATCTGTCTCAATGATGCCATGTATTCCTCTTGTGTGGCTCTCTCACCATGGTTTACATAATGGTCCTCCCAGAAGCACCAACCATTCTCCAATGGCAATACAATATCCTCCTCTTTCTTCTTCTCCTGTGCCACAAACTTCACCTTTGACTTCTTATCCTCATACTTTGCAGTACTATTAATAAAGTCCTTATTATTAAATGATTGTTGAGCTTGATCCAATACCTCCATTTCTATCTTTATGTTTGTTAAGTGGTTATTATTATTATGTACAAAGTTTGATGTTGGGTAAGTATGTGTTTATATATATTTATTGTAAGTTATGTTTATAGTTAGGTCTTGGTATAAGAGTATAGTGAAGTTGAAGGACTAGTCGTTAACTTACAATGTCTAGGGAGAGGACAGTACAAGCCTCAACCAAACCTCACTCTCTAATTCACTCACTCACGCATCTTGAGCTCTTTACAAACAAACACAAACAAGTAAGGCAAGGATTAAGGGAAAGAGGGTCTTGGTAGGTCTAAGACCTCCACTCACTCACTCAAATAAACAACCACAATGGTTGTGTGAAACGGGTGATTCAGATCCTTTATTACCACATATGGACATCGTCTGAGTTTGGCTTGGGATTCCCATTGGTATGGTTCGTTTGTCTAAGTGTGTATGTGTGTGTGCTTGTATTTGTGTTTGTGTGTTGAGGAGTAGACAACAATCTCTTCAGATCGCAAAGTGTTGAGTCGACCCAACACACACACACACTACAAAGGATACGAACATATACAAACCAAGAAGTAATTCAAGCTCTCCAGTAATGAGTTGGAATTGCTATTCTCTGAATGAATGTCCTTTGGGTTTTTGATGATTGTGATGATCAGCAGTCTATCATGTTGTAGTGAAAGAAAGAACATTCAATCAATCAAACATACAGACATTAGATAAAAGAGATTAATAGTCAATAACAAGATGGAAACAAGACTACCTTGGAATGTCATTCATTACATTGTATCAATTGCGAATGATACATATATGTTGAGACAGAGAAAAGAGGATTATAACCATGCATGGACATTATCACTTGCACTGGTATCAAAGAATATGTTCAAATATGTATCCTCGCATCTATTTGTTGAGATCTACTTTGGTACCAAATGGACAAAGAATACCATCTCCAACAACAACAACAAGACAATGACTGCCGCAGTTGAGGAAGCACCATTATCATGGAGTAGATGGAGAGACTCACTCATACAACTGATTGAACTACTTAGATTGGATGAACGCACTGTTGACGATGCTCTATGTGGTGGAGTTGGCCAAACGAATGAGTCGGAACGTATTATTCACGTGGCAAGAAGAAGTTGCAACGCACTTTTACCTCGACGATCAATCCCTCCCTTGACAAGCAAGCTCGTCTACTACCATGAAGTCTATCAACATATCATCAATCCATTATGTCCCATCAAGACACCGAGCAAACTGATCATTGAGGGGCATGGCTTTGATCTGTTGTGTGATCTATATCGCAAGAACCTTCAACATGGAGGTGGTGTAGCCGCATCATTCTTTCAATCAATCACCAACCTTACCATATATGGTAGAGCAGATTTTAACAACCTCGCGCTGCTCCCATCAATCAAGGCACTCAGGATAACATTGACCTCTAAGGAGAAGTCTTTGAGTCAAGAACTGCCCAGCTCAACAATCGATGGACTCAAAAAGCTTCACATCAATCGCTGTCATCTATCAGTATTATCAAAACTACCAGACAACATTCATCTCTCTATAAGTCATCGTATCGAGGATGACCATGATAATGGTGGCGACCCAGACGGCCCTGGATGTCTCAACCCAACTACCAGTCTGGCAACATTCGACTTTGGATTATTTGGCAAAATCTATCATCGAGACCTTATAACCAAGTTGACATTAACAGATGATTGTGGTGGATTGTCCACAAGGTATATCAGAACATGTCAATCAATGCCAAGACTTCGTCATTTGGTCATATGGATTGATTCATGGGTCCATGTACATCAGTTATGTGTCCTGATCAATGCATGCCCAGGCATTGACACCCTTGAACTTTGTCCAACCGACAATAAGTTTGCAGAGGTTGCCTGCTTTATAATCGGAATCTTTATACGATGTCCAATGATCAATTCAATCATCCTTGTTCAACCTTTGGAATCTGGACTAGACTTTGAAATGATTGAACAGGCACTATCAACACTTCCAACCAACATCAAAGTGACCCGAATCAAGCGATCAAGATCAAAGACCATCTGTCACCACAATGACCAAGTATACAAGATATTCCTTCATTCATCCAATCAATCCTTGGCAATAACTCACTAAAATGGAAGTGATTGTTCTATCACCCCGAGGTTCATTGTGAACTTTTGATTTGACTTTGGTTGACTTCACTCATTCAATCATTCATTCAAACAAAGTCGGACAAGTTGTGGTTATTGTTAGTTAATTGTACAACAAATATATATAGAGAGAGATAGAGAGGAAGATGGAGAAGTTCTCAAACTGGAGAGATGGACCTACTGGCATCGCACCATTGTTGCCACCAAGGCCAAAGGTATCTGAATCATCAACTATTGTCAAGATCGTAGGAACACTGTTCTACATCATCTTGGCACCAATTCTATGCATAATTCGTCTACCTCTTATACTAGTACTCACCTTACTATTGGTGTTGTTCGATTCAATCTTTAGACTGGTATGTTCATGTCACTCAATCATCATGTCATGTCATTCAATCATTCTAACTTTGAATGTTATATATAACAGATACCAATTGGTGTAGTCAGTCGTATACTTAACAGATTGTTCGCAATTATATTGGGAAGAACTATATTGTTCCTCTTTGGATTCTTCAACATTGAGGAGTATGTTGAGTCATTGTCAAGATCAAAGGCTCCTCAAGGTAGCTTCAAGTCCATCAGATTGAACGACATCATCGTTTGCAATCACACCTCCTACATCGATATCATCTATCTAACATATAGGTATGATTGCATACATTGACAGACAGACAGACAGACACAATGACTTACACTCATTCAATCAATTACAAAGATATTCTCCAATCTTCTGTATTCCACCAAATGACAAACAGAGCGCTATTGAGGGTCGTTTGATCCCATTGTCGATTGCAGGCGCATTGAGCAATGCTATATTCTCACCAATGCAACTGTCTGGACAATCAGTGCCAACCAGTCAGGTTGTACAGCGTATTAACAGCTCGTGGAGTGGCCCCGTGATCGTGCTGCCCGAGGGCACCACCTCTAATGGATCGGGCCTGCTCGACATCCAGCCAGTGTTTGTCGAGAACAACAACCTGCTGGTCGATCACTTCCACGTCATTGGCATCACCTATCCGACCAGCACGAGCACATCGCCCAGCTACACGGTGGGCAACTACTTCCTGCACCTGCTCAAGGTGTGCGCGGTGTGGCGCCACGAGATCATCGTGCGCTACCTCAGTCGCAACTGTGTGCCATCACTGCCCCTGGACGGCTCGAGTGGCCCGGTCGACACACAAGACGTCATCGAATGGTTCGACGCACTATTCAAATCACTCTCCAGTATGATCAACTGTCGACGCACCAAGATCACCGCCAACCAAAAGTTATCATTCGTTGCATACTGGCGTGGATACAGCTCGAACTATAGCAATGAGAAGAAGACCAAATAATTAATTAAACGTTGTTCACAATCAATCAAAGAGTCATTCTCATTCATGCGCGCGCCCAACTTTCATTCAAGCGACAACATCACCATCAATCACATTCAATGATTTGTTTGGAAATTGATTGAAAAAGGTTGCAAATGAACTCAAATTAATTAATTTCAAAACCCAACAACAGTTCACACATATAATCAATCATTTGAATTACTTGTATCTCTTCACTCACTCATTCATTCATATCATATCATATTATATACTCACTCAATCATTGTATTATTATTATTATTATTATTAGGTGATGCAGTAACAAACATACATATACAGAATGTCAACAACAAGTAGTAATGGCAGTACCAATGGTGTTGCGTGTGTTATCAACAACAACAATGGACATTGCTCAAACAATAATAGGAAGTTTGTAAACTTGATCATTAGGAATGTAGTTCAACAGAATAGTATACCAGATGGAACTATACCATCACCAGAGGCACAGTTCTCTCTCACCAAGTACTTTGACGATCCCAACACTGTCGATCTTGGTACGCATCGATCAATCAATCAATCAATCACATCGATCAATCAATACACTTACATACATCACTCGAACTCAATAATATAGTATTCTTAAACATGATGGACAGGGTACGAAATGAACGATCACATTATGAACAGGTATTGTCAAGGATATTGAAGCTCATCAAGAATAATATAGCTTTGCATCCACCTTCGGTACAGACTCTGCTGGACTTGGATGCCTTTTGTGTCATAACGGCACAGACCTCAAGCAATCAATTACAAAAGAGCATAACATATATTAGAGCATTGATATCCAATCAGATGCGTGTTGTTCAACAACAGCAATTGACAGGCTCAGGCTCATCCGATAAACAGCAGCTACCAAAGATCAGGATGACAACTTCGACATCGAGCAATGTTGGTCTGGCAAGGACCCGAAGTCAATCGGCCACTGCATCAATGTCACACAACTTGCGCGACAGCTCCGACTCGGGACACAATTCCCGGGATCCAACTATATTACAGCGTGCATCACTGGATCTGTCGAATGGCGCCAACAACAGCACCAACACTGTGGGATCTGGCTCGTCGTCTGTCAACTCGAACCATTCGTCGCCATACTCTGACTCGCCACTGCGCAGTGCACTGTCGACATCGCTCAACAATGCGCCACTCTCGCCCAACCTCGTCTCGTCGTACACATCCAACTCTTCGGCCATGTCACAGGCGCTAGACACGCCAATGTCATTCTCTGGCAGTTCAATTCCTACCGTTGGCTCATCACACCACCTGCTCAAGGACAGTTCGTCATCAGTCGTATACGCTCCCACTCAAGAGGATGGATACATCTGCGACCTAATCAATCTCAAGACATGGGGAAAGATCAATTCACAAACTAGACAGAGTACGTTCATTCATTCAATCTTTATTTGGATGGTCATTGCTAACACATTCCAACAACAACAACAGAGATACAGAGTATGTTGACACACTCACCATTTGGCATTATGAAGAGTGGGGAGGCCAAGGGCAAGGACATCTTCCAATGTCCAGACGACACTAGTAACATGAAGCCAATCAAGATTGTCCAACAGGCAAAGAAGAAGTATGTTAAACGAACACGTCACACTGGTTCTTTCAATCAATCAATCTAACATGACGACAACAATAACAACAGGGTGGAGAGAAAGGACGCAACGATCACACTGAGGCGAAGGAAGGCACCGGCACTATTCCAGTACAAGTATTATAAGGAACAGGAACCACTCAAGATCAGTGAGGACGAGAGACAGCAGGTGATCAGAGTGATCAATAACCCCTCGACACCACAAGAGCGATCAATCGCTTCAAAGATATTCATCAAGATTCTCCTGGATATATATTGCAAGAGTGGCTTGGATGGCGAGAAGACGGTGCTTGCCTACTTGAAGCAGATCATCACGAGCGACCACAAGGACGCCCGCATCCACCTGTTCAACATCATCTACAACCTGTCAGTGCATATCAACATCTACTCGGAGCTGAAGCTCATTGACGATGGATCGTCTGGAATGATTGGCGAGCTGCAGGACTCAGTCTACTCTTTGCTTCGCGACATCCTCAATCACTGTGTGCAAAACAAGGAGAGAGATGAGAAGGTCTGGATGGAGGCACTCAACTGCACACTCTTCTTTATCGTCCATCAAGGTGTCGTACTGCGCAGTCGACTACTCCAGCTCAACCCACAAGCCATCGCCTGCTTCCTCAAGTACGCCCACGACGCCAGCGATCAAATCAAACGCACCCTGGTCAGGATGTTATGTAACTTCTTGTAAGTTAATCAATCAATAGATTCAGCGAGTGTGATCATCACTAACATTCCAACACTCCAGGTACAAGGACGCAATACCAAACCAACAAGGACATATCTACCTGAATGAGGATGAGCTGAATAAGGTTGGAGGCATCGACTTCATCCTTAAGCTATACACCACCATTCGTTCCAATGAAGCCAAGAACAACCTATTCGTTGTGATCTTTGATTATGCCCTACAGAGTTCACTCAAGAGTCAGACCATCTCAGAGACACAACTGACACAGGTAAGCTAGCTCACTCCATCACTCACCTCACCTCTCACTCACTCACTGACTCAATCAATCAATCGACTCACTATAGGAGGCACCATTGTTGTTGGAACTGTTCAAACGAGCAGACGTTCCACATTACTTTGTACAGTTGTTCAAGTGCATACCTGAGAAGGACTTTGTCTCGGACTTCTTCCTCTTCACTACAATGTCAACGTCGTCGGCATCTTCACAGGGCAAGCTTACAGAGGCCACTTACTCTGAAGACCTTATCATCAAGTTCTCAATGAAGGTGCATGAGCTGGCGATCAGATTCCAAAAGGTTGAGGCCAACCTCGAGTCACAAGAACCTGACAAGACAGCTGCACTGCTACAACAATGGTTGTTCAATGATCATGATGAAGTGGTCAGAAACAATGGAGTCGTAAGTACAATGAATGGATTGATGGATGAGATGGATGGGACCTAACAATCAATCAATCAATCAATCAAACAATTTCCAGAACTTATTATATTCATCAATCAAGAAGATAATGGTGGATAATGAATCGCCCAACATACTATTCAACCTGTTTATGCAGTTGGCAACACATCAGGATGCTCACATCAGACGTATCTACATCACAATCACACAGCGACTATTGTTAGTGGCCAAGTACAAGTACAAAGGAAATGAGGCAACCAAATCACAAGAGATCATTGACCTCTTCAATGATTGTATAGTACGAATAGCCAACGTCAGCAGTATCGAGAAGGACGAAGACAACCTCATCTACATTGCAGACATCCTATTCGATTTGATCTACAGTAGGAATGGTATGTCCATATCACCATGTCTCCAATCACATGAACAACGACTACTAATATTACATCACTCCTAGGATCCAAATCATTGTACATTAGGGACACGATGCCAGACACCAACTTCTCATTGTTCTTGAACAATCAATTCGTTATCTCAACAAGTTTGCTAAAGTTGGTCAGTGTTGGCATCATCCACTACCTCTTCTCAAACATCAGTCCATCCAATGACAAGTACTTTGAGCCAAGACTAGTATTACTCCATCTTCTTATAATGAGATGTCGCGATGCAGAGACCTTGGAGAAAGCAGGTGGAATCAGTTTCTTCAAGTCTCTCATGCATGATCCATGTACACAGATTGCATAGTAAGTCTATCACATGACCCCAATCAATCAATCAATCATAATATACTTACATAATATACTATCCAGTCATTCTAGCTACTTCCTTCTATCACAATTGGAAGCGGAGAGTCCTGAACAGTATAGGAGTATTCTGACACGATTGCTTACCAAGGCACGTGAGAACAATGATGAGAATCTGATTTCCAATCCATTCTTCCAAGTGCAAGGTATCATTTCCATGACTCACAAATGATTGGATCATATTGCCATCCATCATCAAACATCACCATCATTGTGGGGAAGTAATAAAAGGATGTAATAATAATAATAATTGAGTTATTTCAAACGAATGATCATTTGCTTGAACAGTGTTCATTGTTAACCCCATTAAGGAATTCAGACTCTAGTCTAGAGTAATCAGGACAAAGGATAGGGGTGAGGGCACGGTTTTGATCAAAAAAAAGAGGTTGAATGGGAACATTGATTGACAAAATAGTGATGGGAAGGACGTCCAACCCTGCAAACAACAATCACATTCATGCCTACATCCATATCATTCATATACAACTCATCATCACAGGTATAAACTATAATATATATAATATATTAATATTTATATATAGCTTCAAGATCAAGGCACCAAGCAAGTCTAGAGCCAGAGTGCATGTGTTTAGCATTTGACAAGTCATCATGCGACTAAAGAACAAGCTGATATTGGCTTGCATCTGTCTCATAATCTCATTCATTGTGACAACTTCCGGTGTGCTCTTTGGAGTCCTATACTTTGTCCCAACTGTATGTTTGTTCGTCTGTCGGCTCGCGATCAATCAATCAACCAATCACACTCACACACTCACACTCACACTCGAATCAGATTGAGAAGGCCAAAGACTTTACAGAGACATCTTGTTATGTTTTGGATGTCAATGTGACAGCGACAAATTATACAGGTAGTTGCAGTGATTTGGATGACAATGTTTGGTGGGTCTATTGGCTTGGGACTGGAAATGGTCTACTTGGCGGCATGGACGAACTGTCTGGCGGCGCAAATACCAATTCAAAGAACCGTACCACATCAACAACACTGACGCCACATGGGCTTCAGGATCAACCACCACAGCCACACATCGAAACAACATGCTACCAAGGAACATGGAGCGTGGACTTTGAACTCAGTCGCGACAATATAATCGAAGGCACAACACAGAGTCTTTGGACGAGCGACCTGAACCTGCTACACAACTACACAGCATTTTACAAGAAGACTAGCTCACACGTGTGCTACTACGATCAGAAGAAGCCATCGACCGACATATGTTGGTCCAAGCTGACGCCGTTCAAACGGTCCTATCTGGTGATCAGCATTGCGATTGGCGTGACGGGCACGATTGGCATGCTCCTGTCATTCTTTGTGATCGTGGTGCTCAAGCGTCGCCAGAGTCGCTTCCAGACACAGTACGCCCCGCCCACACAAGCCGAACATCAACTATTTAATCATGGTGGCAGCACAATGTACAACCGAGCCAGTCTGTTTCCAGGCCAGCCGCAGCTGAACAAGTCCAACATGTCCATCAACACATTTATCTACTCCAATTCAGAGTTCAAACTCGAGTATGACGATTGCCAAGACTAGTCTAATAGTCCAACTCATCAATCAAACGTTATATTATAAACAACTACCTTGTATAGATACCCCTCAATCATTGTCGACTCTGAAGTAAAAGGAAAGGAAATAATCTTACAAGTATGTCCTTGTATCCCATTTGCTCTCAATGTATAAGTGTGTACAGCTACCATCATAAAGATGATGGGTGATTGATGGATGTTATTGTCGTGCGTGTCTGCTAAGAGGAGGCAGTCAATGTGGACATCGTTTGGACAAAGGACTGGAAGGTTGGGAAGGCTTGACTACTCACAAGATACTCGTCCAGTCTGAGATAAGAGAATCCAGAGATCAAGAAATATCTTGTTGACTCATACTCAATCTCAGAGTATGCATCCTGATCGTACCTCTGTAGTGCATTCTCTCCAGAGTATCCTAATGATTGATTGAGTGGGAATGAGTGAGTGTTTGGGAGTCCATGGATGACGGCCTTCTACAGTAACTTACTGATATGTGCTTGTTGAGCCTGTTGCTTGGTCTGTCCAACCAACTCCTCAGGTCTACAAAGACAGTCGGAAGGTTGTTCACTATCACGCATCTCCAAGCATGTAAAGTCGAATGATACACCATGTTTGGCAAACATGTTGGATATCTGTTTGATTGATCGATCGAACAAATGTTAATGATTGATCGAATGAACGATTGAATGAGGGAATGATACTAACCATTAGGTATGCTTGTCCAAGATCATTCTTGTAACCTGCAGTCAACTCTGCAGCATGGGATGGATCACCATACCACCAGTGCACTCCAGAAACTTTGGCGGTGAGCACGACACCGGATGATGCAAAGACGGTGGAGGCACGGGCAAGTATGCGATCACCATGCTCGATCAAAGTGCTGGCATACCAATTCAAGAAGAACTGTCCATATGTAGATTGATAGTTTTGATATCCATTCGCCGAGAAGAAGGCAGTCTCATCGGGGAAGCTGTTGTAGTTGCCTGCATTGTCGGGTCCGGCCAGACCCCAAAGTGGGTTGCCAGATTGATTGGCAGCTGCGGCCAATTGCGCCAACAAGTACTTGTCGTAGCATTGGAACTCTCCGACGCCCGGGAATGTCCAGTAGGCCAGTTGGTATGATGGGTATCGCATCTCGCCTGCTGGGCCCAGTCCCACCTGGATCTCTGTCAGCGTGCCAGGTATTATAGGGTCGAATGTCTGCAGGAAGCTAGCCATAAAGTCCGCATATATATCCACTGGTGTACGTCCACCAAACAATGGCTCCTGATCAATGCCACAAGACAAGTACTCTTGGTCCCTATTCATGTTTTGATCAGTGTAGAATATGTCGGCTAATGATGATCATGATGTGATCGTGCGTGTCGGTGTGAGTAAGTGATGGCCAACTGATCCACTGGATGATGACACTCTTACGATTTGATTGGCCAACTGATAATACCCATGGCGGCAAGGGTACGTTGCACTCATCACCAACATTTCCACCACATTGATGGAATGACATTGTGATCTTGATCTTTAGCTTGGCCTTCTCGACCAGAGCAAAGAGTTGTTGATATCCAGACCAATCATATTGTTGTGCTTGTTGCTCAACCAGTCCCCACCATACATCAGTCATCACTCTAAAGATATAGTTGATAAATGGATTGATTGATTAAGTGAGTGATTGGAATAGATCCAGTGATTGATTGATTGATTGACCATACCCAGTGACATTTGAGTTTTGTTGTAGATATGATAGTTGATCAAATAGTGTGGATGCATTGACAAGTTGGTTCTCATTGGATATAGTGCCCAAAGGAAGCATCACTGTTGATTGATTGAGGTAGGAGATGAGGTGTGAGTCTCTCCTCAATCACAACACTTCATAATCATCATTGACATCATACCATAGACGGGTACACCAGTCTGTTGGGCATTGACAGTGTAGGTTGTAGTTGCAAGCAGTACAAGTATCAGTAATCTGATGACGTTACTGCCACTGTTGATGTTGGTCATCATTGTTGTATCGTGTGTGTATACTAGTCAATGTATAATGTTGTCTAATCTCTTAGGTACTTTCATCAATCAATCAACCTTTGCGTCAATTTCAACAACAATGAAATTTAATTAAAAAAAACATAGTTTTGATGTTTTGATTGATTTGATTGAATGAGTTTTGTTTCCCAAAAAGGATAACCATCAACCAAACAAATAATCAATCACACAAATATAATGTCCTTTAACGAAGGTCATGCACAATGGTGATGTTCATTGATTCGATGATGGCCGATCAAGAGTGGATCTGGAGACATGGATATACTATGAGTGATATGATCACTCGACTATTTGAACGAGTCAAATACTTTGGACGTAGTGGGCCAATGTTCCACCTACTCAAGTATTCATACATTGTTCAATTAAGTGATCAGTTCAACAGGTTCAAAGATCAGGCGACCAGCTACAAAAGTCGGATCAAGGACAAAGAGTATAGCATGAACAAGCAGATGTTTGACACATTCATACGTAGCTCAGACATCATCAGGCACTCACTCCAAACCTCAGCCTCGATCAGTATTGCCAATACTTCCACAATTGGTAMCTCAATCGAATTGTTGAGTTTGTGATAAAGTTAAGTGGATATGGAGAATATGCTGACCAAGATCATGGTCATGATCAAGATAATGATCAGAGATGGTTGTTATCATTGGCAACAGTATCAATTGGTTTCCACAAAGCTTGTACAAACATATTATCAAACAGACCAGTTCCAACATTGTCAATACGATCCACTATTGACGTTGGCGCTGAGTATTGCCTGTTCCAACAACCCCCACTCCATCTCGCGGGCTTGGAGCTCATATACGTACCGGACCAACAACACTGTCTCGATCGACTGGAGATCCTCACTGTGCTCTTCGCGACCGCATTCAATCCTTATCACTCTATGGGTAATCAATACCAGTGCAGATACACCTATGTGTGTGGCGCACTACCTAGACTCAGACATCTATCCATCAAGGAGGTGGAGAAGATCCCCAACCCTTATATATACCACCAAAGTCGTGCATATCCAACTCTGGTAAACGACAATATAATGGATTGTATGGACCATGATACACTGTTCAAAGAGATACATCAACACTGTATCAAAGATCGACATGGTCTACAATCGATTGATTGCTCAGTTGGCACTCTGATCATTCCACTGGCCGATAAGGACTTGGGCACGAACTTGAGCATGAGATTCTGCTCGATCAAGCCAAATACGATTCGCCAGAGGAATGTCAATACGACGTCAACCCTCGACCTCTCTCACGTCGATCATTACTATCTTGATCTGGACAATGGCCACTACTTGGGCAGGCTGACCAACCTGGACACACTACACATTCGTCCAAAACATAGGACTGACCTGGTAACGAACGCAACTGACTCGAACAGTCCAGAGATGTTGCCTACAGATCTCCAACATCAATTCTATCCATTAATGTCAGAGACATCCAAGTTTACAACATTAGTGATCGACGTTGATAAGATAAGTGATGTATTGCAATATCTTCCACAAACTGCAACGATGATAAGGTCATTGACAATAAGAATTAATGATATTGAAGATACAATCATTGGTGATATCAATGGACAATTACAACTACATCTTACAAAGATTGGTAAACATTTAAGTGATCGATCATCATTATCAAACATCTATCATTCTTTACAATATACATGTTAAAGAGCAATAAGTATATTATCAAACCATTTAGCAAACCATCATTATTAACAACATTGATAATACCTCTTAATCTATGTCAATTCAATGACAATGAACAACAACCAATAAACTTCTATATCTTATAACATTAAGAGATAATAGAATTGTTTGCTCAAACTTGATTGAATGCCAGATGGCACTCCCTTTTCAACCATTTCTTTAAACAATGAACATTGAACAAGCAGAGAGTAACAAACAACTGCAACAGAATGAAGTCGAAGCATTGTCTTCAATCTATCCACACTTGAACATCTCAACAACATCAAGATCGACAGAACTCTATTCATTATGGATCACTCCTGACAATGATACAGACACAAACTACAATGATACAACAACAGAGTCAGAGAATGAGGATTCAATGTTATTGTTCTCATTCACATATACATCAGAGTACCCTAGTAATCAACCACCAAGTGATATCACTGTGAAGAGTGGATGGTTGCTACCAGAGCATGGTGAGCATCTTGTCAAACAAATGCTACCTCTATTCATACCTGGCGAGTTGGTCATCTTTCAAATGATCGTATGGCTACAAGAGAATGCTGTCAAATGTATTGAACAATACATCAATCATCAATCATCAATCAAACATGTTAATTCCAGTCGAAGGCAACGCCAACAACAACGACAAGTCAACACAAACACTGCCACAGTGCTCAAGGATGAGTCTATCATCCCCTCAATGCCAACACAACCAACACCAACTATATATACTGGACAACCGATAACTGATAAGAAGAGTAAATTCCAAGCACATCTGGCCATCGTCCACTCCGAAGAGGAGGTCAATCTCGTCTTGGACAAACTGCTACTCAACAAGAAGATAGCGGACGCCACACACAACATGTACGCCTTTAGGATAAAGATGCCCAATGGACAGATTGTAAGTATGGTCCAAGGACCCTGCCAGCCCCCTTCCACCAACCAATCACTCAATCACTAACATATCTTGGTTGAACATGTAGAATGAATATTGTGACGATGATGGCGAAGCTGGAGCAGGCGACAAGATGCTGTTTACACTGATACGCAATCAATGTGAAGAGGTGTTGGTAGTTGTTACTAGATGGTTTGGAGGAGTATTGCTTGGTGGTGCACGTTACCATCACATCATTAACGTCACCAAAGAGATGATACAGTTATACCAAACGAAGCAACTGACATCTTCCAACATCACTGTTACTCTATAATCAATCAATGAATAAATATGCCGATCGCTTTTGTTGATGATATCTGTTACTGAGTACTCGATTGTCTCGCCTCTGTTGTGGTGCATGTGTGCATCATGTGTATGTTTATAATAAGGTTATCCATGTTTATTGAAAGACAACCAACCTGATCCAATCCAAACTTGTTGGTAAATGGATAGCAGGCCAGACACCTCCCGACAATGTTGTGACATCGATTGATCGTTTAGATTCCAAGCTTGGTTCTTCTCCAATGTCTGCGCTTGTTGTTGTATCTGTTTGTTTGATTGATGTGTTAGATGATATGTATCCTAATGTCGTCTAATCATTCAATCGAGTAGTCTTCGTCGTACCTAATGGTGTTACCAGTTCTCATTCTGATCCATTGTGGAACTGGTCTGTTCTGCTTCTGCTTCTTGCCGAGCACTTTCTTGATTCTAAGGGTCTTGTGGGAAGGCTATATCATGATGGATTGAGATCAGTACGATGGTCGTGATTGGATTGATGTCGTTGATATACACATACCATTGTTGCGATTCGAATAAAGTAGGATGGATACCTTTAGTGTGAGAATGATATGCTCAACAAGTCAGAGGGGATATCTCCAACACCTTCCTCTAGTTTTGACAAAAAATTCAATTTTAAATCCTTTTAAATCATCTTTCAATTTTTCAACAGAACTTCATAAATTGAGAGATTGATTAATGACCTGGACCAGGTTCAACATGTTCAAACTACTCCTCATTGATCATTAATAAGATTTATACAACACGTGTACAATATTCATTCACTCATTCATTCAAGTATATAGACATGAGTAATTGGTCACGTAATATACAGAGTCGCATTCCTTTGCAGACTCCAGCTGCTCCCCAACATAAACCTATGCCCTTGGGTGGAGCAGCACAGAATACACCTGGTTCAGCACCTGCTTCACCAGCACCTACACATCATGTCCCATCAACAACAGCAACAAGTACGACGACGACTACGATGACTACAGCATCGACATCACCACAATCCTCAACACCAAAGCAAGTGACACCTGTACCATCACCTCCACAATCACATCATTCTACATCGACTGCCGCCACACCGACTACTCCTCAACCTTCTATTACAACACCTCAAGTACTCACACCACCTTCAACACATAAGCCTGCACCCGCCACAACACCAACTCCATCAGCCGCAGCTACATCATCAACAACACCAGCAGCTTCAACACCAAGTTCAAGCAACACACAACAACAACAACAACAGAACATATCGCCTCCATTGAAGCCTGTAACACCTATTAGCGGCACATCAAGTAGTAGTAGTGCGGCATCAAACAGCAGCAACAGCAGCAATCAATATAAGAGTACAAGCAGCTATACTACCAAGCAGTACATCCCGACCAAGGTTCAACAGAAGGAGTTGACATCTGATATGTTCAAGGGTGTAGACTTCTCGTCGACTTTGTTCGTCGAGGACCTCACCAGACGACTTGTGAACGAGCAGGTTAGCTCGGATGGAGTGCACTTTGATCCACTGCCATTCAATGTCCTTTTTGCCGAGACACAGATCAAGCTGGCGCAGCTCGAGACCAACCTCGACCGACGTCTGGATAACCTCGTCGATGAGTGCAACGAGTACTCGACTGAGCTCAAACAACGAATGCAGGCCGTGCAGCAGTCGCACCAGGACGCATTCCAGCACTTTAGAGAGCTGGAGCGTGGTGTCAACACGATTGGCGCCCAAGCTGTTCACTTTGGCGATGAGCTGGACAGCGTCAACCAGCAGAGAAACAAGGCACAGAGCGCCCTTTCGCTGATCAACTACCTGCTGGAGCTCAACGATCCGACACAGAGCCAGCGCTCAGACATCTTTACAAACAGCGAGCGTATCCACGAGCTGGCGCAGCTGGTCAAGAAGCTGAGCAGTGTCAGCGAGGACATCAAGGAGATCACCGATCTGGACAAGGGCAAGCTGGAGGCAGAGAGTCTGAGCAACACATTGGAGAACGATCTGATCAGCCAGTTTGAGCGCGCACAGGACAGGAACGATCTGGACAAGATGAAGCAGTGCGCCACCACGCTGTACAACTTCAACGGCGGTTCAAGGTGTCGCTCGACCTATGTACAGAAGCTCAGGATGTTCTTTGACGTGGCGTCGTTGCGTGCCGATGAGAGCATGGCACAGAATGTATCCAAGCGAGTCATCAGGAAGAACATCATCATGAAGGATCCACGATTCAAGACCTTCTACAAAGAGATCCAGAAGGATGTATCACGCGAACAAAACATCATCCAAGCAGTCTTTATCAATCAGACCTCTGCAATGAGCATGCTCATCAGGAGAATCTTTGAACAAAGAGTACGATCACATAATTCATTCAATCAATCAATCAATCACAATCACTAACTCATCGCTTGTCCTGCCCAGGTGAAAGCATTCATTGATAATACGTTATACATGGAGAAGACGAACTTGGCATACCTCCAGACACTGCACATTGCATATCGCAAGACAAAGAAGCATTTGGTAGAGCCACTGTCATCGTATGGCATCGCAGGCATTGACTTTAATGAGCTGCTCAGTGGTATATTCTTCCCTCTACAAGAGGGCTACATCAAGAAGGAGTTAAGCTCTCTACGTGACATTCTCGCTGGTCTTGTTGCCGATGACAAGGAGATGTCTGGCGAAGAGGGTCTCAACCAAGAGTTCACCCAAACACTCATCCAACAGACTGAGAGCGCACTCAAACGATGTCTACTGCTCTCTCCTGACTTCACATTGTAAGTTACCCATTATCGATTCATTGGCCACACACTGACTGACCAACATCCATCTGCTCACTCAGGGGCGAGAACATCAAGTCCATCTTCTTCTTGTTGCTTCAAGGATTATGCACAGAGTTTATTGAATCAAAGCTACACCTGGCAATGAAGACGATACATGTGGTGGACTCCAAGGCACAAATGACACTTAATCGACTGTTTATGATCATTCTCAATATTAATCAGGTGGTGGGCCAGGTGCAGACATTATACCAACTCTACGTTCTGCCACCAATCCTCACCAACATGGCTGTACAATCACAGACATCGGAGCAGCTGTACTACAACATATCCACACTGGAGTCTAACATTTGCAAGGCACTGGAAACATCACTGAACACCATGATCGGACTGATTGAGAAAGTCTTGTTGGAACAAAAGAAGAATGATTACCTTGGAGGTATGTACATCATGTCCATCCGTCCTATCCCCACCATAATTCTCTCTAACATCATACCTCCATGCAGACGACTATGACAACAATGTGACGGCAACATGTACAAACGTGATCAAGCTCATCAATTCACTTTATGAACTCTGCAAGAGTTGTCTGCAAGGCAAGAACCTCACGATATATGTTGAGGAGCTTGGACTAAAGATTCAAGTGTAAGTTGACTGTCTTGTCTGTCCCTCGCCACTGACTACTTATACAAACGTCCAACCAATCACAACAGGGTATTCTTGAATCACTTCAAGAAATATAAGATTGGACAGGGACCTGGAGCATTGAAGTTGATCAGAGACTTGAACTCGTATAAGGACCTGTCAAAGATATTCAAGAGTCACAGGGTGGAGGAGTTGTTCGAGGTGCTGTTTGAGATATCCAAGCTGCACTTTGTCGGACCAGAGAACTTCAAGTCGGTCGTCGAGGGTGGTCCGTTGTCCAGGATGGACAGGAACGATCTCATCGCCTTTATCAAGCAGCGATCCGACTTCAAGTCACCATGGTTGGACATGATATAATATAAAGGATATTAACATTAGAGTGAAGGCGAAGCAAACACGCGATGCGATATGATTGATTGATTGATATTGAGACACGCGGACATCCTCAACGAAGAGTTGCCAGCTGTGCCTTCTTCTTTATGGCCACCTTTCCACCAGCGGCCTTTTTTGGAGTGTTGTTCTTGATGTTGTTCTTCTTCTTGGGTACAACAACGTTGGTGGTGTTGGCAATGACTGCCTCTGCCTCTGCTGTCATCTTGTCCAACTTCTTTATCTTCTCCTTGACGACCTTTGCCGATGGCCTAATGTCTCCTTCCTTCACAGTCTCTGTAACAATACGATCGACCAACTTCTTATTCACCTTCTTCAATTCCTCTATCTCTGCCTTCAACTTGGCCAACTCATCTGTGTTGTTTCCATTGCTCTTCTGTTGTTGGGGTAGGAGAAGGTTAGGGCGAGGGTCGAGGGGAGGGCCGAGGGCGACTAAACGTACCTCATAATGTATATCTAAACTACTGCTTGATGGACCCATGAATTGATTGGATCTGCTGGCAAAGGAGTCGTTGGGAGTGGTGGTGGCCTTGATGCGCATGACTACTGTACGCAGACGATCCTCGGTGGACTTGTACTTCTCGAATGGTTGGAGTGGATCGTATTGCTTGCGATTGTCTCCGGCCATGTTGATGCTGAGCAGGTCGATTGGATTGAGCATCACGTTGATCGATGTGATGGCACCCTTGATTGTGGAGATTGTTCTCATCACCTGTCTACTGAAAGTGTCCCAGATGTTGACCGAGCCATCGGTGGCGCCCGATATCAGCAGTGATCCATCGATCGATAGATTGAGCGTGGTGATCGACTTGCTGTTGTGGCCGATGAATGTCTTCTTGGCGCGCTCCATCATCTCGGACGCGGTCTTGGACACGAACGACATGTTTGACGCAGCGCTTTCATTGGCCGCCTGATTCAATGTGATGAGGTCTGTTTCGTAGATGATGCCGTCGGATGCGCCAACATACACGGCCGTCTCGGCACAGTCAACTGCCACCGACGTCAGACTGGTGGGGAAGACGATGGACGCGATCGACTTGCCCTGGACCAGGTCCCACACACGACACGTCCTGTCCAGCGACACGGTGTACACTCGCACATTGCCTCCATTGCCATAGCCACAGTGAATGCCAGTGATGCCCAACGCATGATCTGAGAACGAGCTGTTCACTCTGAGCACGGTCTGCTCGCGGTCCAAGATGCTCTCGAGCGACCAGCAGTTGACGACGCCGTCGTCTCCGCCACTCAGCAGGAAGGCGTCGTCGCGAGTGAATGTGATTGATGTGATCTTGTTGTAATGTGCCTCCCAGACGCGCAGCAGAGCGCCCGTGGCGGCCTCCCACAGGTAGATGGAGCCGGACGCCGTGCCCATGCACACGTAGTTGGCGTCGGCGGTGGCGGCGAGTGGACCGCCGCGCTCCTGCACTGGGGTCTTGTACAGTGGCTGGTCCTTGCGCCATGAGTAGAAGTGTACCATTGCCTTGTTGGCCTGTGACGCTACAAAGTGTTCGGTGCCTACCATACACAGACCATTGAGTTCTGCATTGCCTCCGTGATAAGTAGTGTGCAAACTACCATTTCTCAAATCGTACAAATAAATAGAGTTATCATTTGATGATAATAATATAACTTCATTCGCTACCATTATATATATATATATATTTATATTATATTATGTGTATATGTGTATGTTTGTTTCAAAGAGATAATAATAATAAATGAATGACATTCGTGTTGTTCGTTTTCTTAATCATTCGTCTTTTTTTGTTTAGTTTTTTTTTGATTCACCACACACAATGATCGATCACCAACACTGAAAACGACAATGATCATACATAATCAGTAACATACATACATACATACATATAATCAAACATATATAAAGATGCAGAGATCATTCATTAAGATGTCTCAACCTTTGTTGAGACATGCTGTTTCATCATCATCAATGACAACATCAATGAAACAATTTGGAAATGTTACATCATCGTTGGCCACAATGTCATCATCACAGTTTGCAATCAAGTTCAATACGACATCAGCCACTTCGGCATCATTATATAACACCAACAGCAACAGCAACTCCCTTGCCTCGACAATCCCTCCCACAAACAGACTGATAAGAAGAAATATGTAAGACTCTCTGATTGTTGGTTCAACATCATCATTGATTGGATTACTGACATGACTCATTACATTCATCAAATACTTAGAAGCTGTCTATCTGACATTGGACTATCATTATATACTGCAATGAGTGATGATGGTGGGTGATATTAATATTAACTCAATCACAGCATAACGACAAAACATACATCATCATTGTTCGCCATAACAACAACAACCTTAACAACAAAAACACTCAATCACTCACTCAATCACTCAATCACCTTTGGTATGTGATCATAACAATTGCAGAGCCAATTATTAATTCACTCTCAATCTCTGCACACACATATATTAATACAACTCGTTGTATATATTTAGGTGGCTAACAATAAGTTCAAAATATATATCTCAAGATCGATCAAGTTAGAAGAAGAAGAAGTAAGGCCTTTCTCCTCAGATGTCCGGCGACAATAAATGTATACATTTCCCATATATATACCTTCCACTACTACTCTTTTATTATTACTACTCTTTTACCACTAATATCTGATGGATTGATGGGTGCCAATACCGACGAGACTCGAAGGACCGACTTCAAAAAGATCGATCTTTTTCAAAACAAATAGAACAAGAAGGGGTTGGTTGTTTGAAGCTCAGCTGAATGAATGTGACTGTTCCTTTTGAGACTGTATATTTGTTTGCGAACCAACACTCAATCACAATCGGAACAAACACAAACACACACACAAATACTGCAGCACACAATTCATTCATTCATTAAGGTTAATGCATAAACCAAAGTAATATATAGATAGATATATATAAATAGATATTGGAAGTGTTTAGGTGTCACAGGTCCACAGCTGACATTCATCGTCTGTTTGATGTTTGGACTAGGACGTCGACGACAAAGTTTACATCAACAACAACAAATACAACAACAACAACACCATCACCACCACAAGCTATGTCAACAACAATGGAAGAAGCGGCACAATTAGATTGGAAGGCTACACTCAGTGATACAGAGCGTCAAGACATCGTTCAGAAAATGTAAATTTCAAAGCCGTTCATTCAAACATCTACGAATCATTATTGATTGTAATCTGACCATGTACTCTACTATATATAGTACTGAGCTGATACATAGGTATAAACCAGGTGTTCCAGCCAATGAACTATTGGAGCAATCAAGAAAGTATGAGATCAGTGTGTTCAATAAGCCTCATCAATCAGTAAGTCATTCATTCGGAATACGCGACTGATCTCACTCACTCACTCACTCGCGCGCATTCACAGAAAAACAGTTACTTCCAGATGGTCGCCAAACTCCTGGTCCGACTTGAACAACAACAGCAGCAACAACAACAGCAACAACAACAACAGCAACAACAACTACAACAGGGAGGAGGCTTCCAACAACAGCCACAGCCACAACAACATCAACAAAATGTAAATACACATCAACAACAACAACAACAACCACATATTGGTGGAAGTGAACATTCATCACCAATGCAATCTCAAATGTCACATCAACATCAACATCAACAGCAGAATGTAGCCCAACTGGGTGGTGGATCACCTTATGTATTCAATAGTCCACAGCCACAACAAACAACACCAATGCAATATGGTGGTCAGCCAATGGTATCGCCTCAACTGCCAACGACACCTGGGGTAGGCATGCCTGGCACTGTCACGGGAGTGCCAATGACCACACCTACCACCCCGTCAGGGTCCTCAATGCCATCGTTCACTCCGCCATCCAATCAACAAATGCATATACTACAGCTACAGAATAGATTGAATGAGATTGGTTCGGACCCAGCGCATCACATGGAGGCTGAGAGGCTACGAGCTGACCTCATCAAGATACAGCAACACCAACAACAGCAGCAGCAACAGTTCATCAATGCACAGAGGGTGCCCACGGGATCAATGAGCACTCCTCCGCCCCCAAGTCCACATGGCACCTCCACTCAAGTGCCCTCGAAACTCCCGGCACAAGTGCCTCACCCAATGAAGGGTACGCCCTTGGTGCGTACTCCATCAGCGACTGCATTGCCTACGAATCTTCCAAACAATGTACCAGCGGCAGCTGTTCCAGTCAAAATGGCAACGCCATCAACACCACCATCAGTTGGCCTCCCCACACCGAACCAGACAGCCAAGGCGAAGCCGTCGGCACCTGCCCCGTCACCAGCTACGGCCACGGCCACGGCCACAGCTCCAGCTCCAGCCACAGGCACGACCACAGCCACTACAAACACACAAACTCCTGAGCAAAGATACGTCATCTTACTCAAGAAGCTCAAGGAGTATGCCAATATTATTGAGCCAATCATTCATGGCATCGAGACAACGCCAGCATCACAGGCCAACAAGAAGAAACTGTTGGACATCATACAGATCATCAAGAAGACGCCCGAGTCTGGGCCCTTTGAGCTCAGGTACGAGGCACTGGAGATGTACGAGAAGGAGTTTGTTCGAATATATCAGACGACAGTGCTCAGCGAAGACTATCAGATGAAGAGGATGATCGATGTGATAAACACCTCGGAGAATGAGGGTATACTGCTGGCGATTGAGAAGGAGATATTGACGGCGTTTGAGCGATCCAAACGCTTTGTGTCGACGACCCATCTCAACAGAGCCGGCGGTATAAGCTCACGTGGATTCACTCTTTGGTTCAAGAATCCCATCCTACACAACCCTTACAATGACGCGCCACCAAGTGACAACATCCAACCAAAGAGGAAGTTGCCCCTTAAGCTAAGCCTTGAACAGAATGAATCGCTACAAAAGAGACTGAGAGACGATCCATCAAAGGCAGCCAAGAGGTATGTCAATGGAACTATTCCGATCATTCAATCACCAATCACGATCACTAACTAATCAGTGTTCTCCACATACCAGCCCATCCGATATTATGTACGATCTTATTAGAGTATCAAAGTCAGATAACAAACTACTACCAGCAACAATCATCGACACGGAGACGATTGTCATTACCGAGGTTGTCAGCAGACAGCCAACCAACCTCTATATACACTTTCAAGCCAAAGAGATTTCACATCGTTGGACAGGGCCTGGTACCAATCCACCTCTATTTATTCAACGGTATCCATCCATTCAGATATCAACTGACGCCGAACTGTACCGCATTCAGCCGCTGTGTCGATGCGCTTGGGACAGCGCCGAATCAATCATCGAACGCTACAAACAGTCATTGATCAGAGGCAACATTATCAAACAGGAGTTGGCACAATTGGCCGAGCGCAATCTATACGCGATGGACACGGTGCTCGACCAACGCGACTCTGCCATCCAGTTTCACTTCACATTCAACAACACATCCAACAAGCCTCCCATCTCACTCATCGTACTTCCACCAGACAACTATCCACATCAACCAGTGTCCTTTAGATTTCCAATCGAATATGGTAAGTACATGGCAACATCTTTTGAGTTTGAGAGTCATATGACTAACTGACTGGATATCCTTAGATATATCACCGTTCCTTCAGTCAATTCAAAGGTCGATGGAGATGGAGTGGCAAAAGAGAATGGTAAACAAGCCAGCGATGAATGGTAGTGGCGGCACCTCGAACGCAGCGGCAACAACTTCATCAACAGGGTTTGGAAGGATCAAAGATGTATTGGATGTATTCGAACAGGTTGTGGACAAGAATAGCTGATGGATATGATCACTCAATCAACTTATTCATTCATTCATTCTTTCAAACACTTTATTTACATTCGACGACGAATACAAATGGCCGCCAACATATTGACTTGGCACAAAGATCTACTTTGGGTTGTTGTACCCTTCGAATTTGTATATGAGCGAGTCGTTTGGATTGTCGTTGCAGTGTCCATGACGGTTGGGTTTGTTCGAGAGACGGTAAAGATGAAGCACCCTCTTGCCTTCCTTAATGTTGGCATTCTCGATGGAGCTCAACTTGTTGACGCCAATCGCGTGTCTGATCTTGTTCAATGTTGCGGGGAAGGGCTGGTAGACAAGGTCCACCATTCCATATCTTGTGAACAATGGCTTGTCATTGATGCTGTTGGAGAGCAATGCACACAACTTCTCCTTCTTTAGTGGTGCGTTGGTGTCGAGCAAGCCCTGGACGATAGCAAGGAAGATGGGACCGGTCCATGATGAGCAGTACTTGCGCATGAGACCACCAAAGCCTTCAATAGTCTTGCACTGTGAAGTCTTGTAGACGATGATATCGATGTTCTTCTGATCCTTTGCGTCAAAGTAGAAGTTCTGATCCACACGACCCTGGATCTCTGTGTCCAGAGAGGTGAGGATGTTCTGCTCTGTGACCGAGCTGGGCACGGCCACATACCTAAGGGCAAAGAGGATCTCACGACGGAGTTGCTCAGGGTTGAGCAATGACACCAATGATTGAGGATCAACTCCTGCGTACTCCAACATCTCTGTGATGATCGCTGGGACTGGCACCATGTAGTTGGCCTTGATGTGTGCCGCATCGGCATCCACAATGGACCTGCGGGCCTTTGTGACAGTCTCCTGGATCAAGGGAATTGGCTTCCTGAGCTCATCGTTATAGTACTCGATGTAACTCTTCTCCACGTAGTCAGCGTCATCTTGGTTGGCAGTATTGACATCTGCGGCGGCCACTTGAATGGCAGTGTTCTCGCGACCATACAAGAGGAACTTGATCAACTCTTGATTGTCCTTTCCATTGTACTTGGTCTGGACCTCGCGACGAAGATGCTCATAGTAGACGGCCTTGGCCATGTCCTCGATATTGCCACTGAGGTGGCCAAGCATCATCATGAGCTCGAGGTCACGGACCTGTGCAACACTGCGACCATGGATGCCATGGATGAAGTTGTTGCAGGTCTGCTCGCCAAACTCAGACTTGAAGCCAACAGACTCGGTGATGATGAACTTGCACACCTTCTCCAACTCTTTGATGACTCTGGTGTTAATCTCAGTCTTTGTTCTACGCTTGATGATGTCGTACACCAAACGAACAAGTCCAATCTCCTGTGACTTGTCGTAGCCATACGAGTCCAAGGTGAAGAGGTAGCCCAACCAGATACCTTCCAAGATACGGATACGCTTCATGTGCTCATGATGGATGTAAAGAGGGATGACAGCGTTGATCTTCTCACGTGCAGCACCAACGATACAGTAGTCAGCGTCAGCACCATCAGCCTGTGGGTTGTTCTTCATATGAGTGATGGCAGAGATGAAAGAGTCGTAAGAGATGATGGTGTTGGACACGTCGAGTAGCTCCACCTTGGAGTCGAGAGAGGCGTCATTCCTCTTGACCAAGATACCGATGCACATGACATTGTCGGGAGACTTGCGCATCATTTCATAGAGATCCTCGTGGGCAAAGGCACAGGTCCATTGGTCTCTTATCTGCTTGAGCTCCTCCCATCCGGCAATGTCCATGTCACGACGGTATCCTTCGAGGATACCACTAATATCGGTCTTCTTAAAGTACTCGGCATTCTTGTTGACACGAAGAGAGAGCTTCTCCTTGCGCTTCAAGTTGGAGAAGGCTGCATCGTGACGAAGGGCGCTCAACTGAAGCTTGACACGCTCGGGTACCTGTCCCATCTTGATCTGAGTGAACAATCCAATGTACTCCATCATACGATCGTTGATCTCCTTCTTGATCTGCTCGACTTCCAAACGCTCCATCAAGTCCTTTCCAGATGGAACTATTCCATTGGCTGTAGCAATGATATCGCGAACCATCTTCTCATTGTCTGGCGATCTGAGATTGAGTGCCTTGACCAAGTGGATGGGTCGCACGGGCTCGAGGGGAACCAGGTCGATCTTCTTGGAGCCCTCACCAGAGGCCAAGTATGCATCGGCATCACTGTCGATGGTGTCATTGATGAGGAAGCAGACAGTGTCGTCATTGCTCTGTGCAGAGTAAGAGTTGACGCCAATGTTGAGCGAGAACTCGCGTGCAGACGCGGCATACTCAAACATGTCGTTGAAGTCATTCTGGAGATCGGACGACTTGGTCGAGTACTTGAACAGGCCTTCCTTGGTGCCAAGCTTCCTGACGCCCTCGAGGAAAGCATTGTTCACATCACCGAATCCAATGACATGCACGGTGATGGAGAGGTGTGAGAGGCCACTCACCACAAGCTTGAGGGCTTCAGTAGAGCGCTGTCTTTCAGCTGCGCTGGATCCGTCTTGACCATCAGTCATGAAGATAAAGGTGGTGGACTTGGGATTGGCGATCAGATGAGTCTTGATGGCGTCAAAGACGACTGGGAAGTCGGTGCCACCGCCGGCCACCAAGTCGACGTTCTCAATGTCCTTGGTGGACTTCTTGGTCACAGTAGTGTTGTAGCAGAACAAAGGATAGTCGATCTTTGTTCTCTTGTATATGTCACGGAGGACTGCGCACACACTCTGGATTGGTGCGCCACCCATTGATCCAGAGACATCTACACACAACAACAAGTTGTTGCCTGTTGAATCCACCTTTTCAACCTGGGCCTCAATATAAGTTTGTCCCCATGGTGTCTTAAAGTATGTTGGTTTAGCGATTGCTGATTGTTGTTCTATTTGTTTAGGTTCCATATTCTATGATTGAGTGATCAGAGTCAGTATTATTGATTGATTGATTGATTGGAATGATTCCATTCACATACTTATGATGTATATATAAATATATGTATATATATATTCTTTGATTTAGTGATGTAATGTAATGATGATTATTCGGTCCACGTGGACATTGAGTTAATATAGTTGACGTTCTGAATTTACAACCTTGATTATTGGGTTAAAGGTGGACATTGTCTGGAATTCAATGATCAAACATGGAAAAATTGAAGATAATTTCTGTCAAAACACCCTTTTTGCATAATTTTGAATGATAGCTCCATGATCATTCACTTTAAAGTCATCCATCAAACATCTTGCTGTAGTTGTAGATGTAGTTGTAGAGGTAGACTATACTACAAGCAATATGGTACAGGTATTCCGTGGATATTTGTTAGAATGGTATGACAATGATAATGATGACGTAACGCGGATATGATAGGTGACGATGCTTAGAGCAACAACATCATAGTGATGTTTATACTTACTGACATTGAATGAACGAATGAATGAATGACAGTGACCCACCTACCAGACAGTTTGTCATGTGGCTGGAGAAGCAGGAGAACTTTGTAGTGATACCTTTGGATGATACACATCTCTTCCTACAGGGTGCCAACAACAATGTCATTGAAGTCATACAGAGGAGACTGGACGAGTTGCAAGATCAGAACACTTACAATGCATTTGATCAAGCAAACTAGAGAGCTAGAGATAGACTAGACTGGACTGTACTGTACTGGATTGGACTGGTTCATCATGTACTCATGCATGATCATGAGTCTCTCTCTCTCAATCTCAATTCAACTATATTGTGCTCAAGATGATGGTATGGGATTACAATCGATTGGATAGAGACATAAACAATGTTGTAATCATTCATTCAATCAATCAATCAATCAATCAATCATTTATTTGTTATCCTGTTGGCAAAGTATGACACTTGATTGAGATGTCCTTGGATGATGGATAACTTGAGTGAGCGGTTAATGAAGGAGGTTGACAAGTTGAGTACGTCCAATACTCTTGGATCTCGGTTATGTCTAATGATCATGTTGACCATACTAGTATCGTCAACGATCCTGTTATGTATATGTTCCCATCTGTTCATATTATGCTCGATGATGACTTGAAGTACAAAGAGGTGTCCACCCTCCATTGCACATTTGATCATTGTGATGCACGACTCCAGAGTGATCCAAATCTGGTGGTGCTCTTCTTTGAACTTTAAGAACATATACTTTAAGACATGTAGATGACCATTCCTGGAGGCTCCAATGAATGCCTCGTGTTTACATAGTCCATCTTGATTGTCAATAAGGTATTCGACAATGTGAAGATGTCCATTTGTGGCAGCCTGGTTCATTGCCTCGCCAAAAGTCGTGTTGACCTTAAATAGGTACTTAATTATCTCCAGTGAGCCATGTCCAGCAGCATGGTTGAATGTTTTTCGGATGTCAAAGGGGATGTCTTTGATACGGAGCAGTTGAATGATGTCCAAGTCGCCAATGGCAACATGTGGTCGGATGTGAAAGGAAGTGCCAGGGAGGGCATTGTGGGTGATGAGTAGCTTGAATGACTCGACCAGGCCATCACGTGATGTCAACTTGATGTATAAATCATCGTTGACCAAGTTTGATAGTTGAATGTTGGGATATTTGTGGGAGAGTACAGGGAGGAGCTCAAATAGCTCACTTCCAATGGCAGCGTCCATTGGAAAGTCATCACTGTATGATCTGCGGTAGCAGGGTACGATGATGTCACTGTCCAAGAGTTGTTGTAGTAGCTCAACACGCAGACTGGTTGATGGGACTAGCTTCAACGATCTAATGCAAGTGCCGAGGTCATCAAGAGTGAAGAGAGGTTTGGGGTGGAGATTGAGGATGGCGGCACGTGAATCTGAGTTGAGTAGGAATTGAAGATTATAGTGACATCCATTAGGTTTAAGGACGAACACTTCAGGATGATTGTGTATGATTGAAGTGAAGAGTGAGGTAGCCTCTGATGTAAGTGGTTGGAAATTGACAAGTGTATTGAGCATATAAATATAATCAATGTCAAATAGTTTCTTCTCATGGATGTGACGCTCGAGGAATTTGAAGACCTCAAAGTTGCCAGAGACAAGGAGACACTTGAGTGTATTGTTGCAGAACTTGATCTTTGGATGCGTGACAAGACGTTGGAATAACTCCATTGAATGCAGAGATGGATGAATCTCCGTCAGTTTAGGTATCCGCAACTTGATGTCGTGATGATCCAACAGGAAGTGAACAACTTCCAAAGGAGATCCATCCACCATGGCCATTTCAATTGAATAAACGTCTATGGAGAATGTCTCTCCATTGTCAATGAAGTGTGCGTGTATATGTTGCAAGAGATCCAAGTGTCCTCCATTCCAGATTGCCCCCGATACAAAGCCGGAAGAGGTCTCAGCCATACCCCCTTTGGGTCTGTTACTCCTGAACTCAAGATAGACGAGGTAGTGTGATAGCGTGGAGCAGACTGATCTAGAGAGCCAATCAACATTGTGCATGTACACTGGAAAGGTCTGAGCGATGTGTTGCAGTAGCTCCATACTAAAGTATTGCTTCAATATGTCGTTGAGTATACCTTGTACTTGGACACAGTCTAAACAATCGCGTAGTACACCAATCAAGGTGATGAACTCACGTGCAGTCTCTGGCGTTCCAATCGATCTGATGACACTTGCATAGTTGCCAAAGTTCATGGGAATGCCCCTCTCCATCACATGGAACTGATGCACATGGCTAATCATCACCTTGAACATATTGTAGTCATTCACCCAATTCCACCTCATGACTTTAACATAGATGTGATGCTTGGCGTCCTGTGGTCTTCCTCGATTGCTGTTGGTCATGAGAAATGAGAAGAACTCTACATCATTGCTCTCGATGGCAATCTGAATTGTATCGTTGGTCAACATATTGAGATGCGGGTTGTTGTTGTGCACGTTGTAGTCCATGATCAGTTTGACGATCTGTCGATTCTTGAATGCGGCAGCAAGTGTAAACAGTTGTCTCAATGGTTCTTCATCGAAATCTGGTTCGCTTGATGATGGTGAATGATTAAAGAGTGATGAGTGGGCCTCGATGGCGGCAGTCAACTCTCCAAATCGTTTGACAAACAGATGAGTTCTACCATGTATGATGAACTGTTTGAGTGATCCTTTGTCATCCAGATTCATATCTTTGATTTGTTCAAAGATGATCAATCTAATCACAACATTTCTAAACAATGTAGTAAATGCCATTGTTGATGATGTTGTTGCCATATATGTTGATTGATTAGTATTATCTCTTTGAGTTGAGGGAACATCACAAATGATCAAACATCATGATTTTGAGTTTATCAAAGCGTAAACTCTAGAGGACTGGAACCCCAACTCACCATATTTATGTATTATTGTTATTGGAATGTCATATCATACTTCTTGTTTAGAAAGTATGACACAAGATTGAGATGTCCTTGGATGATGGATAACTTGAGTGAATGATCGACCAAAGACTGTGGCAATGCGAGCAAGTGAAATAGACTGGGCTCGTTGTGTTTGATAATAGTACCAATGTTGGTCCTATTACTTATATAATATTGAACGATCTTATTATGGATTTGTTCCCATGTGTCGTTGTTGTCATGCTGCGGTCGTAGTTGTTTCGTAGCTAGCTTCTCATACTTGATGATAGCCTGTAGAGTTAAGACATGTCCATACTCCATTGCATACCTAGTCATGGTTCCCCACGTATCCATCGAGACCATATCTTGCTTTGATTGTAACATTGAGAACAGGTACTCCAATACATCATGATGACCATCCCTTGCAGCGCCAATGAATGCTTGGTCTAAATATCCTTCAGTTCTATTGTTATGAAGATATTCGACAACTTGATGATTTCCTTTTTTGGCCGCTTCGTCCATAGCCTTAGTAGTTACCAAGACCTTTTGTTTTTCAACCAGATACTCGATTGTCTCCAGCTTGCCTGTTCTGGCAGCTCGGAGGAATGACTCTGAGATGTTGAAGTAAATGTTGTTGGAGCAGAGGAATTGAATGATGTCCAAGTTTTCGAAGGCTAGATTGGCATCTTTGAGGAAGGCCAATCGATTATGTCCCGGGTGAGTGATGAGAACCTTGAATGACTCGGACAGTCCAAACATCGTCACTCTTTTGATTGTACCAAAACAATCGTCCTTCACATATGCAAGTTGGGCGTTTGGATATTTGAGGCCGAGCACCGGAAGGAGTTCAAAGAGCTGGTGGTGAATTATATCATTCATTGGATAACCTTGGATTGGGCGGCGGTACCAGGGTGCGAAGAGGTCACTGTCCAGAAGTTGCTGGAACATCTCGACTCGCTCGCTGGCCAAAGGTACTTTTATCTTCAGCTGAAAGATGAATGTGGATAGGTCGCCAAGAGTAAAGGGAGGAGTTGGTGTTGTGGTTGTGATTGATTGTGCTGTCTTCAGGGCAGAGATGAAGGTCTCCCGTGCACATGGGTTGAGCAAGAAATGTTGACGAACATCAGAATCGACGACCAGCAGTTCGGAGAGATGATTGTGTATCAACGATGTAATGATTGAGGTCACCTCTGGATGTGGTTGGAGATTGGCAAGAGAATTGAGTAGCTTATTATAATCGATAGTCTGTTTCTGTAGACGCTGCATGTGACCGATCAAATGATGGTACAACTCAAAGTTGCCAGAGAGTAGTAGACTGTTTAGGGAATCAGTGCCGTACGAGATGTTTGGATATCTGGCAGCCAGAAGTTGGAAGAGCTCCATTGACTGGAGGGATGGGTGTATATTGCGGATGATGAGATGTAACTCATTGATCTTGAAATCCATTAAGAACTTGATAACCTCCAAAGGACATCCCAGATAGATTGCGGCGCTAATGCTATCTTCCCAAATTGAGAATTTCTTTCCAGTGTCAATAAAGTGGTCACGGACCAGTTGCAAGAGTGCCAGGTGGTCGCGATCAATGTAGTTGCTGAAGTTCATGATTGCAAAGACAAAGTGATGAGAGTTCTCTTTCATTCCTGTTCTTGTTCTCCTGAACTCGAGATAGGTGAGGTAGCGCGACGGACTCGTGCATACTGGCCTGGAGAGCCAATTGACATTGCTGAAGCACTCTGGAAGTGTTTGGTGGATATGCTCGAGAAGCTCCAAGCTAAAGTATTGATTCAATATGTCTTTTAGTATAAGTGGTATTGAACTGCCTATTCCGCAATCGCGTAGCACGCCCACCGAGGTGATGAACTCGTGAGCATTCTCCTGCGATCCAATTGACTCGAGAAGTTGCTTATGCCCACCAAGTTGGATGGGTTGGGGAAAGTGGAAATCATGCAAGTGTCTCATCATCACCTTGAAGAGTTGGTAGTCCACATTACTCATCTCGATATCTCCAAGAATGATGTGATGCTTGGCGTCATGCGGTCTGTTGCTGTTGTCCAGTAGAAAGGAGAGGAAATCTACATCATTGCTCTCGACGGCAGTCTCAATTGCCTCATTGGTCAGAAGATTGAGATGCGGGTTGTTGTTGTTCACATTGTAATCCATTATCAGTTTGACAATCTGTCGATTCTTGTGTCTGGCAGCAAGTGTCAACAATAGTCGCATTGGTTCATCTTCATCCTTTGGTCCTTTCGGTACTTTATTGATGTTATTGTAGATTGTTGTTGGTTTGTTAGAAATGGACCATGATGATGATGATGATGGTAAATGATTAAACAATGATGGATGTGCCTCGATCACATTAGTCAACTCTCCAAATCTCTTTACAAACAGATTAGTTCTACCATGTATTATAAACTGTTGTAATGATCCTTCATCATTCAACTCCATATCTCTTATTTGTTCAAAGATCATTGATCTAATCACAATATTTCTAAACAATGTTATAAACGTTACATCCATTGTTGTTGTTATCTGTACCTGTTATCTGTATGTATGAGTGAGTACATGAATGAGTGAATGAAAGAATCAACTCATCAAATCAAAGTCACTCACAACTTTGTTCGCCCACCCATTGATTGTGTGCCAGGTCATGGACTGGCGCGAGGGCAACAGACTGGTAGGAGGGTCATTGTACAATGATGATGATGTATTGATTTAATAGATTAACCTTTTTTGTTAACTAACCAAGTACTTTGATTGAGAGTAGTGAAGTATCCTTTTCGGCCAACAACAATCCATCCTTTGAGTAGTTAGGGTACAGTCTGTTCTTTGGCAATGCACATTTGTTGGAAGACAATTGATTAAAGTTATTAAAGTATATGAATCCTCCAAAGCATAGTCCAATCAATGTTCCACCAAGTATCTATATAGGTTGGTCTTTGTTAGTTCAATGATCCCATCCCATAATATCACATTAACATACATCTGAGAAGTCATGATGATAGTCCATCGTCCTGGAAACTGCGACGAATGATGATATGGCATAGGGTAGTAGCACGATGAATAGTTTCCATGATGGTGAACCTTCTTTTCTAAAGACTCTCAGCTTGCCACAGAGGTACATTGAGAGGAAGGTCATTGAACAGAATGATGCTGATGAATGACCTGAAGGGAAACTGAGTCGACCATCATGTATACTTGACTTGTCTCCATCTGCCACGCGTGCTGCATAGTCTGGTCTATATCTTCCAACAATAACCTTTAAAAAGTCTGTGAATAACATTGTCATGGTCAATGCCTAAAGTTGGATATTTGATTGATTGATTGATTGATTGATCAGTGTGAGTGATGTGATGTGATGGAGGCATGGACATCTGGATACCAACATACTTGTACCAATCCTAGACATGCATGATGTAGGTCATGTAGACTGCGATATCTTGCATAGAATGATGTGAAGACGATGAGTGGAATGAGACCAACGATCAGTGCCAACATCCATGTGGGTACTATTGATGCCTTGAGTGGGTATTGGATGGTCTGGAACTGATCCAATCCATCGGGTATATATCTATCATAGGGATTCATGGCAAAGTTGCACACGATCAATTCAAATATCACAACTCCAATGCATACTGCCCAGTCGACCAGTATCATCCTCGTCCACCATGGTATCCGACTGTAATGTCCTGGGTTCTGACCCGTTGACCTTTTCCTCATCTCTCTCTCTTTGTGTTGGTTGGTTGGTAGTAATACAATAAGTTGGAATACTATATATTATATGTATTATTGACTTGTTAGGAATGATTGATGACGATGAAGATTGATTGATTTGATTGCCTTGTTTTGATTCGTGTGGGGTGGGAGGTTGATCAGGTAATCACACCTCACACACTCACACGAATTATCAACTTTTCTGTCAAATGATCAAAAACCTATCATTCCAACTGAAGGTCTTAAAGTGGACATACACCAAATTTGATGATAATATCATTGTTGATGATGTTGGTGGAGTTGACCCAATACTTGGAGAATATCCAGTCGCGTTGGAACATGGCTGCATCCTCCGACATGTCGGGTGTTGAGCCCGCCAGACACACTGGCAAAGTCTAGACATTGTACAAGAGTGCGACCACCCATCAGCAGTGAGAATAGGAAGCCAGCTCGGAATGCATCGCCTGCGCCAATAGAGTCGACGGACTTGATGTCCAGCTTGGGTGCATAGTGCCAGAAGGGTTCAAAGTACTCGGCAGGCTCGCGCACACTGCGTTTGAACCATCCGCCGCACGCCAATCCATTGGCACCATCAGTTATGATGACGAATGTGTCTGGGAATTGCTCGAGGAATAGTCGAGCTGCACCAAGTGTCGCATGGATATCATCGCGTTTGCCTCGCCAATCAGTGGACGTCTGATAAATGAATGATGATCGGGGTGTTGACTTGTCGTCCGATGATGGCTGCAGGGGCAGTCGAGCAGGCAACACATGATCCATGACGTACATGTTCATGAGACATTGCCCGGCACGCTCAATGATGTGATTGGACACTGATGCCGTGTTGTAGTCCAGTGTGATCCATGCGTCCTCCTTCCACTCGATGCTCTCCAGATAGATCTGTTTGTGCTGGCCCATGTAGCGGTCACAGCTAGTGAATCCCAGTCCGAGCATTGTGCGCTCAGTGTCGTCGCTGACGTATATATCTACTGATGGCGTGACCATCAATGACCTGTCGACCAGTGGGGGTATGCGTACATCGATGAACCTCGAGTAATCAGACGATGCATATCTCGTCAGATATTGATCAATCGTTGGTATCAATGCTCTACCATCATTGTCATCTGCCAACTGTATCGTATTCAAATGTATCAAGACCTCTGACTCCAATGTACCTTGTTCCTTTCTCAACTCATTGAGCCATGACGAGATGCAACACTACATTGGTGTTTGATTGGTGAGTGGGATGGTTCCAATGATTGATTGATTGATTGATTGGATACAAACGATTGTGTTTCCAGCGTTGCCTCCCAACAATGTCAGCGCGTTCTTGACTTCTGTGTACGATCCTTTGGTCTTTGGGAAGTCCTCAATGTACTTGATGACATCTAGAATGACAAGACCAAAGATGGTCAACTCCTTCATTATATATCTTTGTTGTAGCAATCAATCAGTCAAACTATCAAATAATCTGAGTCGTTTTCAATCAATCAAACAAACGAGTGGTCTTTGGTTCAATGAAACGGCGTTTATAACTTATTGCGATTGCACTTGGACACCTTGTTGAGCTGTCGAGACTAATAGGGCGTCAAAGTCACCAAGGTCAAGATCTTGATCCTTCAGTTTTTCCTTCTCTGCTTGCTTCATCTGTTGAATTCTATGTTGCTTCTCCTCTGCATCCTTCTTGGCCTTCAACTCTAGCTTCTCAACCTTGGACAACAACCTTGTCTGTGGTCCACCAGTATTATTGATCCTCTCCTCCAGGTCATCGAGCAATGCCTTAAACTCCTCCATCTCAAATGTCTTGTGTAGTCTCTCTCTGAGGTCATCATAATGATTACATCTGTTTAGGTTGTGGTGTTGTTGCGGTTAGTTAATGAGGTTGCTGCTGTTGACGATGCTGCTGCTACAACTTACTCTGACATCAACATCTTGAAGAAATGTGAACGGACAACTGGGTATGGTGTTGGATATTTGCTCGACAATGTCCAGGTAGTCGCGACACAATTGAAGTGCTGGCACTCTGTCTGGTCCATTGAACAGGGCTGGATTGGCCAATATTCCTTCGGCCGACATCACACCATCGGCAGTAGACTCCTCCAAACATGGCTCAATATCTGAATACTCTACAACACTACCATTGGCAAAGACTGGTATAGTCAATGCATCCTTGATGGCCTTGATCGCCTTCCAATCGGCGTGGCATAGGAGATGACCTTTCTGCTCCTTGGTGCGTCCATGAACGGTGAGGAGCTGGCATCCAGCCTCTTGGAGTTGAAGTGCCAGTTTGATAGTATCCTCAAGCTTGGGCAACAATCTGATCTTGCAAAACACTGGCACGCTGAGCTCAGCATGGAGCGCGCGGACCATTGGCAACACAATGTCTGGTTTCTCCAAAAGGAATGCGCCATAGTTTCCACGTCTGGCAATGCCCTGGGGACAACCCAAGTTTATATCCACTGCATCGCACTGACTCTCCACCATCTTTGCGGCCTTTACAATGTACTCAACTTCATTTCCACATAGCTAGAGATGATGTAATGTGAGTGAGTACTCATGTCTTGACTTGGACTTGCGACTGAGACAACTTACTTGAACAACGAGTGGCCTATCCTCGGGACAGAATTCAAAGTTCTCGAGACGATAGGAGAGGTCTGTGACGTACATCTTGCTGTGGAACATGGGCGTGTAAACAAGGTCTGCCTTGTACTTCCTGCACAGCATGCGGAAGGCGAGGAAGGTGTGGTCGACCATTGGGGCGACAATGTGTTTTGGTGACTTGAGCACATCGCGATAGAACTGATAGCCGCCGAGCTTTGTGGCAGGTGTCGTACGCATTGGTACTATAGTGTTCTTGTACAAATCTTGTTCGCGTTGTTGTTCCTCAACATTATCGCCTGCTTTACTATTGTAATATGAACGATTGTTGCAGTCCTGTGTAATTATGCTCCTCATCTCTTTCAATGGGTTGCCGGCGATCCTATACAATCTGTTATACATTGATTCTCTGTCTCTACCCTCTCCTCTTTCTCTTCTTGCGCCACTATTGCTATTGCCACTATTGTTGCTATTGTTACTGTCTCTAATGTTGTTGTTGTTGTTATCGTTGTTGGTGTCGTCGACGTTGCTAATGCCGTTGCTATTGGCCTGATGATCAATCATGAGGTTGTATCTGTATCTGTATTGTTATAACTATGTACTAGTAATGTTTAGTTTGGTTTCGAGAAAATGAATGGATTGCCACTTTCGACCGAAACTCACCCCATCCTTTGCTCACGATCTTTCAAAGCAAACAACTTCCATCGATCGAAGTGATAAAGATAGAGAGATACACATGAATGTTATATATATTTATTGAATGATTGATTGATTGATTGATGATACAAGCATCGATATTGAGAATAGAATGAATGATTGTGAAACAAAACAACAAACAGCAACAATACTATTAAAGTTAAAACCAACAAGTGTAAGGAATGAATGAATGAATTGAATGAGGTAAGGAAGGAGTTTGAGAGGAGAGGAAGAGGAGAAGATGGAGTTGGAGGAGTGATGTATTATATGCGTTTAAGTAAAGGGATTGCTTGATTGTTTGGGTCGTTCGTCATTGTCAATGTGAGGGGCTTACACCCGCCCACCCTCTTTGGACTAAAGACACAGACTCTGTCTGTCTTGTCCTCTTATTTGGCTGGTGCTTGTGCTGCTGCTGCTGCTGGTGCTTGTGCTGCTACAGGCTGTTGTGGAGCTGGATATGGGTATTGTTGAGGTGGGTATTGACCACCGGCTGGTGGTGCGTTATAAGGGTATGCTGGATATGGGTATGCTGGGTATGGATATTGAGGTGGGTATCCACCGGCGGGTGGTGCGCCAGGTGCGCCAGCAGGTGGCACTCCTTGTGGTGCACCTACGGGTGGCACACCGGGGGCACCAGCAACTGGTGCCGCTGGATTGGCATTCTCCTGGCCAGGCTGTGGCATTGGTGGATAGCCTGGGTATGGTCCATAGGGGTAGTAGTATGGGTATGGTGCTGCTCCGTTTGGTGGAGGATATGGCATGTATTGTTGTGGTGGGTATGGGTATGGTGGTTGGTTGGGGTCAGCTTGAGCTGGTGGCTGTTGCTGTGGCTGCAGTGGCTGTGCTGGAGGCTTTCCGCCAGCGGCAACAGGCTGTGGCATTGGTTGTTGTGGAGGATATCCTGGATGTTGTGGAGGGTAGCCTGGCTGCTGTGGTGGGTAGCCTGGTTGTTGAGGTGGATAGACAGGCTGCTGACCTGGCTGTTGTGGTGGGTAGACTGGTGGCTGTCCTGGCTGTTGTTGAGGTGGATAAAAAGGTTGTTGTTGTGGAGGGTAGACTTGTTGTTGAGCATGCTGCTGAGGTGGCTGCTGTTGTTGTGATGGATAGGCTTGTTGTGGTGGTTGTTGACCAACAACAGGCTGTGCTGCTGGAGGTGCTGGCTTTTGATGTGGTGGCTGAGGCTGTGGCTTATATTGTTGTTGGTTGAGGCATTGGCTTGCCTGGTGCTTGACTTGGGTTGGGCAGTTGTCTGGCAACCGGTTGAGGTTGTTGTTGTGGATGTGGTTGTGGCTGTGGTTGTACCTGTGGCTGCATTGGTTGCATTGGTTGCATTGGTTGCATGGGTTGTTGTGGTTGAATGTGTGGCTGTTGTTGTACCTGTGGCTGCATTGGCTGCATTGGCTGCATTGGTTGCTGTGGTTGTGGCTGTGAGATACCAATAACACTCGCGCCAGGCTTCTTGACTGCGATGGTTGGAGTGGTGAGTTGGTTGTTGGCTGGTCTTGGTGGAAGATTCTGTGGGGGTCCACCGGCTGGTCCGCCAACAGGTCCATTAGCTGGTCCATTAGCAGCAGGTCCACCAGGTGATAGAGTCAGATTTTGGATTGGTGGCAACACTTGTTGCGGCTGTCCACCATTGTTGTTGACTATGAATGACTGTGGACGTCGCAGTTGAGGTGCACCCAAGGGTGGGGGTCCCTGGTCTTGCTTTGGAGATGGTGACGATGTAGCAGGGCTTGGACCATCACTCAGTGGACGAGCTTGGACTCCATTTTGCGGCTGAATCACTGGACTGTTGTTGCCCGATGCTGGTCCTGACTGAACGGCGGACACAACGGCTGGTTGGGCGACAGCTGTTGCAACTTCGGCGGATTGTGGTGGAGTGGTCCCGGTCTTTGGTGGGGTGGAGCCAGACTTTGTTGGCTCAGCAGTGGCCACAGACGACTGAGGTTGCAAGGCGACCACTGGAGTGACGGCGACGGCACTGGTGGTGGCTGGCATGATGATTGAGATTGGTCTGACGGTTGGCTCCTGTGGTGATTTGAGTCCGATCAGAGTCATAATATTCCTCTGGATTGCCTCGACCCACGTTGTCGTGTCGCCTGGTGCCTCAGTCAATATAGGATACAATCTCTTTGGTGTAATAATCTGAAACTCCTTTGGATTAACTGTCTTTACAGTTGATTTATCGTCAAGATCTATAACACCCTTGCTGTAAAGGTCCTGTTTTGTTTGATTGTGTCCATCATGTTAGACACATTGATTGATTGATTGAATTGATTGAATGATTGAATGATTGAATGAATACATACACCTTTGTTCTTGAAATAGAACAGCTTTGAGCCCTTGAGTACGAACCATCTTCTCTTCTTTGACTTGGCACTTGTGTCTGTCTTGACCATGAATCCCTCAGCCTCTGGTTGTGCTCTCTCCTCTGGCGTCACTTTGATCTAATGTGCGAGTGACAATGTGTGTGAGTGTGTGTGGGGATCGATCGACATTCGGGACTCGTGAATAGTGCCAAGCCCAACGCGAAAACTTTGGTCAATGGACCATGCATGGAATACATACACCTGACTTGCCCATGATGGTTGTGTCTCTTTAGATATATAATAATGATTGAGATATATATAATATAATATATGTAATATATGTACTTATATTTGCTTGGTCCAATACTGAAATACTTGTGAACTCCAAATGTGAGGTTAATGGTGTTTACACTACTTTGTGCTGACTCTGCATAGATAGATATGTTTGTCAGATATGTTTGTTGTTATTGTTTTGTGTGTGTTTGTATGCATCGCACTCAGCTCAGATCAATCACTCACACTGATCAGAGAAGGTGTAGGAGGAATGCTTGCTGGCCCAACACTGAATGAGGCCCAAAAACAATTTAATTTAATTATTTTCATTAAATCTAGGTCAGATACTGCGGGATGTTGTTGTCGACATCCTCGTCGTCGGTATCCAACAAGCATTAATGCTCAGAGAAGTATCACGTTTTGATCAAGTGTGTGATCATGTGCGTGAGTGTGTGTAGGCCTACTCGGGAGTCCCCCATCATAAACATCGGGTTTGTGTCGGAATTGTCGTGGGGTGTTATCAGGAGTGAGGAGAGTCTCGATCTGATTGGCTGCACATGTGGACCACCGCCAACTGACAACTGTCAATGTCTAGCTGCTACTGCTGCCACTGCTACTACTACTGTCGTCACTGCTGTCACTACCACTCCTACGACCATGTCTATGCCTATGCTTATGTTTGTGTTTCTTCTTGCTCTCCTTGTCCTTATCCTTGTCCCTGTGTTTGTCATCCTTGTGCTTCCTCTTTCTCTCCTTTTCCTTCATCTTTTTCTTCTTTCTCTCCTTCCTTCGTTTCCTTCGTTGTCTCTCCTCTTCTGATGTGTCTGTGTCGTCACTACTGCTTTCACTGCTGGTGTCACCTTTGTCACTTTTGATGTCTGTTGAATGGTTCTCCCTCATTTCATCAACATCGTCATCATCTTCATCACTGGAGTAGACTTCCAACTTGATGCCATATTGATCTCTGAGCATGCCAAGCATCTTTCTATCCTTTCGCTCATCATTCACTCTGCTGCCAATCATTCCTCTTCCTCTGACCTTGGTCCTCTTTAGTATATCGGGTATATCGTCGTCAAATTCATCATCATAGTGATCTCTACTATCTCTGTTGTTGTGGTAGTCATCATAGTCGTCATCATCATCATCACTTTGATTGATCACATTGTCCTTGATTCCATTTGACTTCACTTCAACATCATCATTGCTTGTGATTGACCTGATCCTATTACTATGTGACAGCTCTCTTTGTTTCTCCAATCTTTTCCTCTCAAGATCCCACTGATTATCACGTTGCTCATGATGATGACGATCACCTCTACCCCTACTTCTACTTCTACTTCTACTCCTACTCCTGCTCCTACTTCTACTCCTTCGCCTATCATCACGATTGTATGGATGAGACCTATCCCTCCTTCTTTGCTCCTTCTCCTCAGCAGCAGCTCTTTCCTTACTGATCTGATACTTGTTGTAGTCTACAGTATGACCAATAACATTCTCCAAGTATGATACACTCGGTGAGAAGTTCCTTCCACTATTCTTATCATCAAATACCATATTGGATCTAAATAATAATGAGTTGATTGATTGATTGATTATGTAAGTATCTATGTTTGAGTGTGTGTCACATAATATTACATACTTACTTTTCATCATTATTAGTAGTTGATGTAGTTGATGTTGTTGTTGGAGCAAAAGTAGTTGAAGTTGATGATGATGATGATGATTGAGGTAGATGTACTGGTGGAGTGACACTACTCCTCTTCTTTAGTAATGACCGTATATATTGTTCATGAAGTCCCAATCTATTCAATAACTCTTTATCAGTAGTTGACTGTCCAGACATCGTTGTTAATTCAACTAATATCACATGTTCATTATATATATATATATATATATGTATATGTATATGTATATGTATTATATATTTGATCGAATGATCTCAAATGTTTACAAAGAGGAATGCTGATCTCTGACTTACACCAAAACAGTTCCTTCACAAGATCTTTACAAAAAAACAAAAGAAAAGACACCAATGCAAAAAGATATTTGTTGTCATCCATTCATTCACAACAACTACATTGTAATAATATATAACAAACAAACAAACAAACATATTTATTTATTTATTCATATAATATAACTATATATCAGTAGTACTAAGGCAATATGTCAACTTACGACTATGTTAATAATGACTTACAGCGTATGTTCAAACATAACACAATTGATTGATTGATTGATTGATTGAATGAAGGTTGTTCATACACTAACATCACGATGATGAGAACAGACTTTGCTGAGGAACAATTAAGATCATCATATGGAGAGGAGAGGAAACTTACTGAATGGGTTGATTCCAGAACACTAAAGTCAAAGAGATTCAAGAAGAGGATCATAGTCGTTGGTTCATACCGTCTACTCAGTCTCAAGAAGGGCAAGATTGGTCTATCAGTATGTGAATGATCTCCAACTCATTATGTACACACACTCCAACTAACAAACTCAATCAATCAATAGTTAAACCATACTCTTCACTTCTATGACATCTCCGACTTGATCGTTGTGGAGGATACAATTGAAGTCCGATTGAGGGCTTCAGCACACAATACAAAGAGCGCAAAGGAGGAGCATGGTATATTGATCAGGTCATCAAAGGATATATTACAGAGGATATTATATCACATTCGTGAACAGAATAGGATCATCTCATATGGACTGCCATCCGATCACTGGTCCTTCAGACTGTCGGCATCACAGGACTACCTCCTGACTCTGCCCGATAAGGAGATCAGCATTGCCGAGCAGTTCAACGAGGTATACAAGGGACTGTGCAACTATCGCAACAGCCCACCCAGCTCAGAGGTGTGTCGACTGGTCGAGCGATACGTCAGCGATCAGGTGACCGACTTTGACCTGACCAAGTGTCCCGGTCTCGAGGGCAGGAGCGACCTGTCGTTCAACATTGAGTACGTGTTGGAGACGCTCAAGTATAACAACTACTTCACATCGGTGATCGTTGGAGGAATGTCACAAAAGAATATATTGTCGGCCATTGGAGAGGTGTTGCACATCAATAGGAACATCAGAAAAGTCAGTGTCAGTGGTGTCAACGAGGATCAATCACTCTCATTGGTTGGTCTTGGTCTGCTCAACAATCCAACAAACACCATCCAAGTGTTGGACTTTAGTAATAACTCATTATCACAATCATCAATTGGTCAATTCTTTGATGTAAGTGTTGATGATCATCTGGCCTCCACTCAATCAATCACTCATTCATTCATTCCAATCATCCAATCGAACAATCATTAGGGATTGGAGTCACTCAGACATACACTTCAATATTTGAACCTGTCCAATTGTGGACTCAACTCTAGGAGCATTGAACTCCTGTTCACATCACTCTCCAAGAATGTAGAGTTGTCCTACAACTTGGAGTATCTCAATCTCTCTGGCAGTAAATTCGAAGAGATTGGATCATTCCAATGTGGAAACTGGATAACAAAGATCAAAGGGTATGTTTGATCAATCATCAATCAACTCCACTCCATCATTACAACATCTAACCATGTCCATCCAGATCATATCAACTGAAGAAGTTGTACCTTTCAGCCTGCCAGCTCAATTTCATTCAGTTGGGTCCACAACTTAGATTGCTGACAGAGTTGAGGACACTTGACCTCTCACATAACAAGATGGAGAAGGCAGAGATTGAGGAAGTCAATCAAATATTCCAAACATACACAATGCTCGAGTCAATAGATCTATCCGGTTGTGGAATATCAAATGATCACTTCCTCTATCTAACCAGTACACTGGCAAAGAATCCACATATTGAGGTACCGATTATAATCATGCCATGTCAATGGACATCGCGACATTATGCTAACTTTAGCCACCCTCTAGGACTTGACATTGAACCTCTCACACAATGGTCTTGGAAAGAATGTTAACTTCATGGTGACAGCATTTGAGTTTGTGTCTGTGATCAAGAGTCTGGACATCACTTCCAATGGCATTGGAATGAGGGGACTCACAAGATTGTTGGAGGCACTCAGAAAGAATGATAGCATCGAGGTCTTGAAGTTGGACAATAACTTTGTTGGTGTAAGTAATAAGTATGAGTGAGTGAATGAGGGACTAATTCTAATCATTCCAAATCACAGACATCGAGTGAAGGAACAGAGTTCTTTACAGAGTTGATGAACTTCTTGCAGAAGAAACCATCGTTGAAGACATTGTCGTTGGCTGGATCTTCATCTTGCCACATTCCAGGAAGATTGATCAATAACTTCCTCACTCAGATGGTCACCAATACGACCATTGAACATTTGAATATTAGTGGACACTCGGCTGGTGATTCTGCCGCCCCAGCACTTGGCAACCTGCTTGAGAACAACATCACACTCAAATGTTTGGATATTGACAGGAATCACTTCACGGTTAACGCCTTCCAGGCAATATTATTGTCACTCCATGATAATCGATCACTCGTCCACATACCATTCCCAAGCTCTGACTTTGAGAAGGCGATCGCCATGCTCAGCTCAAGTAAGAAGCCAACACTATTCAACACGATGCACAAGATACAGATGATCCTGGAGGAGAATGGAACTTGGCCAACTGTCAATGAGCACTTCTATCCTACGCCCATCAGCGACCCTCAGCCAATCACCCACAGCAGTGCCAACAACAGGTACACTACCAACATAGCGCCACTCCAGCAACAACGATCAACAATGATCATTAACAACAGTGCTGCCTCATCCGCTGCTGCTCAAGAGAGGCCAATCTCACCTGTCAAGCAATACGAGTCAAGTCCATCCGTGGTCGAGGAGGAGGTGTATGTCCAGCCACAAGTTCAACCACAACCAATGATACCGGTACCAGCGCTGCCCCAACAACCGCCACCCCGCAACTCATTCAAGCCACTTCCACAGCCAGGAGGAGGTGGTGGAGGTTCGACCATTAATCTCTCAGCTCTAAAGTCTAGACCTGTGCCTCAGCCAGGTGGCGGCACACTCCCAGCCTCGTCATCCAGTGGCATCGTTCCAAGACAGACACCACTAATCCCTGTACTACCACCTCCACAAAGGTTCACCAAGCAACAACAACAACCAACCTACGAAGACGACGAATACGCATAAGCTCAATAAGTCTTTTATTATTAATAAACTTGGGCAAGTTAATATGATATCAATGAGTTTATTCACAATACTTTAAGGGTAGGGGTAGGGTATGATCACGTCGCTGTCGCTGTTGTTGTTGCTGTTGCTATTGTTGTTGTTGCTCTTGCTTGTTGGTACATAGAGAGGAGTAAAGACCCACTTATTTATGGAGACAAAGCGAATGGAATGACCTTGGTGCCCTCCTTGGAGACGAACTTTAGGACGTACTTGCCACTGACAAGGAAACGAGTCTGCAGCTCCTTGCAGCAGAGATGCATCAATTCGACACCTTGCTCAAAGGTCAGATCCTTCTTGTGATGGCGATCGAGCAGACCCAACAAGAAGTAGGCGGCGTATCCGTGACAGCCAAAGTCCAGCTTCTGTAATGATCCCAGGTAGTCCATGTAAAAGAGTGCGGGGCCGGTCTCCTTGTCAAAGCCGGCGATCAGCAGGTTGACATTGTATGGGCTGCGACGCAGAGCTGTGGCGAGCTCGGAGCGCACGTAGTTTGCTACGGCGCTAGTCGACAGTGTGTATCCGTTGCGCAGCTGATAGAGCTTGAGGTTCTTTGAAATGTACTCTGTGAACTGCACTCTGTCGCCTGGCTCTCCTGCAGTGAGCAGTAGCTTGTGCTGGTCCAACACCATGATCTTATCTTCATCATCCTTCATCTTTACAATCGAGTGATTGATGCTTGCATCTGCTAGACACAATACACCATCTGCAATAATAAATGACAATAGTGTCTCCATTGTTTATGTATATGTATATATATATATATGTATAAGTATAAGTATATGTATAAGTATGTATTATATGTAAAGGTTGTGTGATTGTGTTAAATGAAGATTGAAGTTGATGTTCAACTTGTGATCATCACCCACACTCACAATTTATTATTATTTTTTGATGAATGCTGATATAGGACTGGAAGTGCGAAAGATGGAGTTGCAGACCAATTAGTGTGACTTCCAAACATTCACAAAGTATTGATCATTCATTGATTCACTCAAACAGATAAAGTCTTATTAACTCAATCCAACACTGGACACAAATCAATCAATCAACTTACAATAATGAGGATATAAAGTCATACTACCTTGGGCAACACAATGTTTACGAATTGGCCAACAAAGCAATCGGTAACATTAAACCAGGGATAGTGTTTATTTCCCACTCATGTACCCTCCATCATATTTCCCTTGATGACGCTGGTGTGATCGGACTGGACCGGTCCATCATGATGGTCTAGGACAGGACATGACCTAAAACAGTAATTCAAGGGTTTGGTAAACAAACTTCAACGATGTGATTGAAGACAACTTTACTACAACTATTCCATTTGGAAGTAATAGAAGGCAGAGGGATATTCTTGATATTCTCAAGCATAAGCATTATGAATGTATGATCAACATGACATTCTTGACATGTCGTAGTAGACAATTGAGTGTCTGCGTGTGTGTACGTAATCAACAGTCACATGTTTGATTGATTGAGTTTCGCACACACTCACTCTCAAGGTTTCAAGCTCGATCGTTCGTTTTGTGTGCACAAAATAAATTATTTAAATTGATGTGTTGATGATGAAACAGACAGAGCATCATCATGTTTAGAGCCTTGGGCGCGCCACATGTTGTTGTATTCATTCATTCAATCATTCATTGACATTAACATACAGACAGTAAGACAGTCAGACAGACATCAACTAGTGCCTGTACACTTACTATATCTATCTATACTTATACATACAGTTAATATAACATATAACAATGGGTGGAGGACATGATGAAATGGACGAAGGTGGATCGTTCCATGTACACATGGTGGCTGGTGCCATCGCTGGAGTTGCCGAACATTGCGGAATGTATCCAATCGATACAGTTAAAGTATGGATCAATCATGATTGAATGAATGTGAAGTGACTGATCAGGCACTAACCTTGGCAATCAATCACTCGGTCGACGACGAATGAAACAAACAGACACATATACAATCAGTTACTGCTGGATATCAAACATCTGGATTCCAGATGACTAAACAGATCATATCGAAATCAGGTGTCACCGGACTGTTTAGAGGTGTCACTGCCGTTGCTGCTGGCGCCGCTCCAGCACATGCCATCCACTTTGCCATATATGAGTACCTAAGGAACAAGATATGTCAGGGCGACAATGCCCATCATCATCCATTCAAGACAGGTGCCGCTGGTGCTTTCGCAACTGTATGTGTTTCATGTTGCATATGCAATGTTTGATCGATTGATTGAGCAAACGAACGAGTGAGTGTGGCTGACCGACATCATCCACATTATTATAGATGGTTAGCGAGGCAGTAGCATCACCAATGGATGCTGTGAAGCAGAGAATGCAACTACAGGCGACTAGCTATGGTGGAATGTTCAGTTGCATGAAGAGCATGTGGGCGAGGGAAGGACTGCGGGCATTCTACGCAGGTTACACTACATCACTGGTCATGAACGTGCCTTACTACGGCTTCTACTTTGCCTCGTATGAGAGTCTGAAGAAGCTGGTCGAGCCACTGCACGCCGAGGGCAGCGAAGACCACTATCAATTCCAGTTGCACGTCGTTGCAGGAGGTGGCGCAGGCATGGTGGCCGCCGGTCTGACCAACCCATTCGACGTGGCCAAGACGCGTCTGCAGACGCAGGGCGATGTTGGCAAGCACTACAGAGGCATGATCGATGCGTTCAAGACCATTTGGCAGGAGGAGGGCATGCAGGGAATGATGCGTGGCGTCAAGCCAAGAATCGTGTTCCACTCGATGAGCTCGGCAATCGTCTGGTCTGTCTACGAATACGTCAAGCATCTCATGGGAGAGTAATAATTATCTCCTTGTACATCTACATGATTGAATATAGCCTAGTCAATCATGGCCAATCTTATATATATACACGTTTACGACCCGCGCGATCCAATCCACAATCCAATCCAATCCACCATCAACCCAAATCCAATCACTTCCAGCTTCCACCATCAGCATCAACTTGCTCCACACACACACAGTGTGGCACAATCAGACAAGAGGATAGCATGGTAGTGATCTGGTGACCGTTGCAACGGTCAGCCCAACCTGTTTGGCCAGTCCATTAATCGATTGATTGGGGACCAAAAGCCAGCCAGTGAATAAACCGATCGTCATTATAATCAAATCTCTCCTATCTCTTTTGTTTCCTTTGTCGACGTCGTCGTCGTTTATGGATTGTAAAGTACATTCTAGTCGCAGTCCATTCCTTGATAATTGATCCTATCTTTCACTCCTTGGTATGTCTGTGTGTAACAGGTCGCCACTATTTCCTTGGATGATGATAGGTTTGTTATCGCTTTCTTCTGCGTTACTCTTGATGTTAATGTTGTTGCTGTTGTTGTTGTTGTTCTTCTTGTTCTTGTCATCTATAATGATGGGGACTTTCGCCACATCATTATCTTTGTCTTGTATCTTTGATTCAATCTCTTTGATCCTGAGTGATAGGTATGTGTTCTCGGACCAGTAGTTATCCTCATCATCATCTATTCCCTGATCAAACTGTATCACCTTTGGTGCTCTTGCTGCCTCTTCCAACTTCATATCCAGCTCATCCAATGGACTGAGTGGTGTCTTCTTTGATATAGCTGCATTGGTCGTTCGTAAGTTATGTTAGTAACCAGCATATACAATCAATCACATGCCAACAATGCATTGTTGTTTGATACCTACCATCAAAGTCTTGAGTTGCCACCTTTGATATGTGTAAAAAGTATATCCTCCAGAACATATCATCCTTCATCAGTGAAGGACACAGTTGGAATCTAAGTGTGTCCAGTGTATCAACAATAGTTATAATCTTCTTTACATGTCTCTGTTGTAATGAGCTCATAGTGAATGCTACACATGACATTAAGTGATTGCGAGTGAGTAGGTGAGTCATTGATAAGTTGATTGAATGAATGAATGACATACGTGTCTTTGAAAGTGTATGTATTGGGAAGTCTTTGAATGACTCGGGGTATTTAGATATATTCTTTACATAAAGTACTAGTTCATCTGTGATGCCTAGCTCCTCCCTCTCTCTGACCTCATCAGTCGACTTGACCTCTGGTATATCTAATAGCTTTCGAAAGAAGTTCATATCTATCTATCTATCTATCTCTATCTGTTGTTGTTATAAATTAATGTTCGTGACCAGCACTGCACTAAATGAAGTCAAGTGTGGTCGTCACGAACTTTGAGCAAAAGTCGTGTGTCCCCTCATCAGCAAACCTGATTTACAGCAATCAATCATATGATGAAGTGTACATGCACAAAGAGTGTCTTTATTACTTCTTCATCTGACCACGTTGATTGCCAAAGATCTTGGGAGCTTGGTATTCCATGTATGTACTGCCACTTCCACCGGATAGTGCTCTAATGTTACCACTGGCACGACTGACGACATTGCTGGCAGCACCACCAGAGGTCTTGGGCTTCTTCTTCTGTTGCCAATCTGTAATGTCATCAAAGTCCTCCTCCAACACTTCACCTTTGCCACTGTCATCACCTTCCTTCAACACCTCGTTCAGTAGGTCCAGTTGGTCCTTCTTGGAGGTGTACATCAACTTCTCGCCGTCCAGACCGGGCATCTCTGAGATCACCTTGAAACTGTATCCCTGGTCAATCAAGAACTGCTGTCTCTTGGCACTGTAGTACATCTCCTGCGTGTCCTTGGACACGAGCGAGTAGAAGAAAGCGTTGTACAGGCCATCCGACTTGGGCTTTGGACGGAGAATACGTCCGAGTCTTTGAGTCTCTTGACGACGAGAACCATAATGCGATGAGATCTGAATGATCACTGTGGCTTCGGGGATATCAATGGATGTGTCACCGACCTTTGAGATGAAGATTGTTCGTGTGGCCGGGTCGTGTTGGAACTTGCTGAGAATTGACATTCTCTCCTGGCCCAGCGTGGCACCATAGATGAAGAACTTCTTCAACTCGATGGCGTACTTGCGCAAGGCGTACACATTGTCCGAGAACACGATGATCTTGTCGCCACGTTGCTCGTGGAACTTGATGAGGTACTCGCACACACGGAACTTGTTTGGATTCATGGTGTAGAGCAGCTTCTTCTTGCCAGGCGACTCGTTGGTGAGGTACTCTTGATAGAACTCTGCGGTCATTGGACACCAGATCTCTGAACAGGACACATTGGCAAGGTATCCTGCCTTTTGCAGGTCGAGCCAGTTGGCCTCGTACAACTTGGGGCCAATGAGGAAACTCAGATCTTGAATCTTGTCATCCTCACGGAGAAGTGTGGCAGTCAGTCCCAGCTTGCAATGCGCCTTGGTGACGGTGAGCACACGTCTGAACATGTTGGCTGGCACGACGTGCACCTCGTCGAGCAGCACTAGACCCCACTCACGATTGGTGAGCTCATTCATGATCTTGAGTGCCTCGGCAGAACGCTTTCCACCGAATGATATCATTGTGTAGGTGGTGATTGTGACACCGGCCATTGTGAACATCTTCTCCTTGCTGTCTGATGTGAACTTTTGGATGGCCTTCTCATCGACATTGGTCCACAGTCTGAACTGATACTTCCACTGCTCCACAGACACGGCTGATGTACACAGCACAAGGATACTCTTCTTGACTGTGCATGCCGCTGTGATGCCACTGAGTGACTTGCCTGCACCACACGGCAACACAATGATGCCAGATCGTGCACGACCATTACCAAACATCTTGGACAATGACTTCTCTTGATAGGGACGAATCATTGTTGTGGGCTTGAGGTCCATGGCCAGGTTGGGATTGACCGTGTCATTCCTAAAGTCGTACTCCTCCAGCATTGGGTAGTCGAGCTCGATGCAGCGCTTCTTGACCGCCTCGACACTGTCAGATGATATTTCGAATGAGTGGAACTGTTGATCAGAGTTGTCTACTGTGTCCTCTTCATCGCCCTCGAGCAGCGACGACAGATTGCTGTCCAGACCCTGGTTGGGAAGAATGCCTCCAGAGATCTGAGTTGGTGTCATGCCACCTGTGGTCACAATGAATCCAGTCTTGGTGTCCACCTGTCGCTGCGCTGGGTCGCCCACTGTGTTTGCCTGAGGCGCCGACGAAGTGACACGCGCTGATCGTATAGTGGAGTCCTTGAGGAGATGCTCCAAGACGTCGGGATAGGCTGATTCGACGTAGTACTTGTTCTTCTGTAGCACCAGCTTGACCTTGCCATAACTCTTTGTGCACTTCTTAACAAAGTTGATGATCTCGCGAGGAATCTCCATCTTGGACAGACGTCCGAGCACATTGATGATGTCCGCCGTCTCCAGACCAACAGACACAGCGGCGTACAACGAGTACGGTGTCAGCTGGTACTCATGTATCAACTGTGGACGACATACTGGCTCGGCAATTGCCACCAGAAAGTCTGATGCCTCCTTGTAAATGGGCGAGAATGTCTCCAAGAAGATATGACCATCTGGACATACCCACATTGGACGTGATATATTTGATTGCTTCAACTGACATATCTTTGTATAATCCTTCACAATGTCCTTATTTGAATCATAGGCATCATGTATAGTTTCAGCTGCATTCTTTGGTACTGTTTGATTGATTAAGTTAGTGAGTGGGAGGGAGGGATGATTGAATGAAGCACTGCATACCATTAACAAGATCTGAGGTCATCTGCTCAGCAATCTCCTCATAGTCTTGCCATTTGTCCAAAGGTTTATTGTTATTATTGGTTCTCTTTCTCTGTTTTGAAGAGAATGAGAGAGGACAAATGGTTAGACTGATCAATATGTGTTCATATTACAATGATGTATGTTATATATCGTGATCACACATCCTATCCTATCCTTACCTTGAGAGAGTCATTTGATCGTGCTGGCTTCATAGTTATCTGTCTTTGGTCGGTGATGAAGTTATGATCTTTATCTTTAACTCTCTTTTAATTCTTCTTTATAACAACTACACAATAATAAATGATCAACAACAAATAACAAATAATAATAAAGTGTTTAGTTTTAGTTTTAGTTTTGTTTTATATTCACACACACAACAAACAGATACTAACTGTTTGTTTGACAAATAAATGTGATAAAAGTCAAATGAACTGTTTCACCAGTTTTTGGTTCTATTTATCACTGTATTGTCGACCACCACTTCATTCGATTCAATTCGATTATTATTATTTATTATTATTATCTATTTCTCTATTTCATAAGCAACATATATATAACAATGAGCGATACCCATGAAGATGACTTTGACGACGATGACGAGCTAGCAAAGATCAGAGAGCGAAGAATGCAGGAGATTAAAGACAGGTAATCAATCATTCATTCAATCGATCAATCAATCAATGATGGTGTTCACAACAGCAACTGACATGTAATGAATGGATTGGTCAATATTAAAGAATGAAAGCAATAGATCAGTTAAAGAACAGCAATGCAGAGTATAAAGAAGTGATGGAGAATGACTTCCTGAAAGAGGTCACTGGTACAACCAACGTCGTCGCTCACTTCTTTCACAATGAGTTCCAAAGATGCAAGATTGTCGATAAGCACATGGAGGTAATACATCATTCATTCAATCGTCTCATCATCCTCATCATGGTCAATGCTAATCAATCATTCAATCAAACAATCAACAAAGATCTTGACAAAGGTACATATCAATACAAAGTTCATCAAGATCAATGCAGAGAAGGCACCATTCTTTGTTAATAAGCTGGCGATTAGAGTGTTGCCAACAATGGTGGCGTTTCACAATGGTGTAGTAGTGGACCGTATCGTTGGCTTTGACGAACTGGGTGGCGTCGATGACTTTAAGACAGAAGCATTGGCCAGACGACTGGGACAGGCAGGTGTGCTCGAGCTAAAGACCTCGTCCAACCTGACCGTAATATCAAAGAGCGATAAACAATCAAGTAGAATGAAGAATGAGGATGATGATTAGTCATTCATCACACCTGTCGACATTGGATGGACTCTTTGACTCACTCGTGTCGTGAGTGACATGATCATTTATTGAATCGAACGTGCCTGTTACTGCGCTACAATCTGATTGATTGAATGATTGATTGATTGATTGATTGTTTATGGTCCCAAGAGGTTGGTGACCCACTCGACGACAGCCCAGGTGATGGCCTGACCTGGAGCCACACGAAGAATACGTGGGAGACAACCGGCCCAGAAGGCGGACACACCACCGTCGGCGTAGATGCTGCGGATGACCTGTGTGGAGGTCTGGTTCTGACCCTGCTTCTGCATGCGAGTCTTGATAGTGTCCAGTGGGTTGTTGAACAGTGTGGAGGCGGTACCGGCCAGGGCTCCGGCGGCGAGGTTCTGGAGCACGGGCAGCTTCTTGCTGTGATCGCCACCCTTGAGACTGTCTGTGATGGCGTAGAACACGGGGAAACGAATCATGTGGTTGGTGATCTGTCGCAGCAATGTGGCACTGCCACCCTTGTACAGGCCTTGGATGCCCTCCTCGCGCCACACATCGCGGAAAACGTTGCCGAACGAGCGGCTGTGAGCCTGGGTCATGTGGCGCACCTTGAGCAGCTCACAGGGGATGACGACGAGGAACGACTCGACGGTACCGGCAAAGGCACCTCCGGCCAGGTTGACAAAGAATGGGTCCTTTGGCGCCTTGCCGCCGTTGAAGCGCTCGTTGTACTCCTTGGTGAACCAGGAGAAGGCAAAGTACCTGATGCCCACCTTGAAAATGGCCTCGGCGGTCATTGGCAAGATGCCCTCGTACAATGCGTAGACGCCACCTGTGAATCCCTTGCCCTTTGACGTGACATCGGTGAATGTCTGATATATCGATCTGCCTGGGTTGTTCTGGAGCTGTGTCTTGATACGATCCAATGGATGGCATGCCCAAACATCAGCTGTTCCTGCAACTGCACCTGCAACCATTCTCTTCCATGGGTTCTCCTTCTTATCTGTTGATCCTGCTGGTGGGCCTATCGTGTTCAAACATGTAAGTATTCATTCATTCATTCATTCATTCAATCATTCATTCGTTCGTTCAATCAGTCGATCAATCCAATCTTGAAAACATACTCATGATTGATTGAATATATCTCTGTTATATGTATATATGATTGACCTGCTGGCTTGGTTGAAGAATGATGTATGGTGGACGGTTCAACTAATTAGTCGGGGTTTGAGATAGTGATGATCAAACAAACAAACATTGTCAAGAGGGAGAGGTTCCCAGCTGGTCTCCATGTTCATCAATAAAATCAAAATCAATGATTTTTGTGATTTTTTGACTGGTTTGGTGTGTGATTGATTGACTGACGACAATGGTGATGAGATTGATGTTGTTCATTGGTATGAACATTGACATCAACACCATCAATGATGTTGACAAGACCTACCAGTTAATTTGAGACTGTTTGTGAATGATAATAATAAAAAGTACGCAAGAATAAGAGAGTATATAAGAGAGAGAAGTAAAGATCAAATGGATGAATGAATGAGTGAGGGAGTTGAAGAGTTGTGAGCTTCACTTGACTCTTCAGATGGTATTGTGCTCCTGATAATGATGATGAGGTTGTAATAATAATAAAAGTTTGTTGTAGATTCTGATTGACATGACCACTGGAACCAAAAATCCCATTTGGGAATCCAGGTTGAAATTTCCCAACGACGTTAAAATAAGTTTGTAATTCTCTGTCTCTTTCTCTCACTTCTCTTTACTTCAACAACAAACGAAATGTTTGATTTCTTGAATTTCAATGTTGACCTTTCCTATCTTTCTCAAAGTAGGGAAACACCAATCAATCCTACTTGTTGTCAATGTACATTTCTATCTAGTTCGACCATCAATATACAGATACAGATACAACAAAATGATTAGGAATATGATTGAATGAACAACAGAAAAAGACTTCGTTTTTGTTTTGTTTTTTTTTCGATTGACCCTTTTTTTAATTTTTTCAACGCCCTGGTCGTGTGAATGACGATCGTTTGGCTGGCTGGATGCCGAAGCCGACTCGCAGTGTTACCCTCTGGTGGTGTGACAATCAAGCAATAGCAAACACCACACACTACATCATACTTACATCTTCGTACTAATATACATATATACTCATAAATACATATTTCCATAAACATGTTGCACCGTGTATCATTCAACGCTCAACGTATTGCCTCAAGCAATGTATGCATTCAATCAATCAATCAATCAATCAAACGATCAATAATGCGAAAGACGAACGAATGAACGAATGACCGACAGATATAGATGATGCGACACACAGACGGACAGACAAACAAGACAGGATCTAACATATGAATGAACGAAACGAATAATATTAGGTTGGCTCGATCAGAAACTACTTGGGATACACCTCAGGTCTCGACAAGAGAAAGGTCACAGTGATCCCTGGTGATGGTATCGGCCCAGAGATCACCTCGTCGGTGATGGGCGTGTTCCAAGCAGCCAAGGTGCCCATTGAGTGGGAGGTGTTTGATGTCTCTGGCGGCCAGCCCATCTCTCAGGAGCTGATCGCCTCGATCTCCAGAAACAAGGTGGCTCTCAAGGGTCCACTGTACACTACCATCCTCTCTGGCTCGCAGTCGCGTAACATGGAGATGCGTAAGGCTCTCGACCTGTACGCACACGTCATCCCATGCAAGAAGATCGACGGAGTCAACGTGCGCCACAGCGACGTCCCCGTCGACCTGGTCGTCATTCGTGAGAACACCCAGGGTGAGTACTCTGGACTCGAGCAGACCCTGGTTCCAGGTGTCGTCCAATCACTCAAGATTATCACCAAGGAGGCTTCCACCCGTATTGCCCGTTATGCCTTTGAGTACGCCAAGGCTGAGGGAAGAAAGAAGGTCACTGCCATTCACAAGGCTAACATTCAGTAAGTCAAGTTCAAAGTGATCATCACTCATTCAATCAATCACTAACTCACTCACTCACTCAATCAATCAATCACAATCAATCAATCAAACTTGCGAACACAATGTAGAAAGATGACAGACGGATTGTTTTTGGAGACTTGCAAGCAGGTTGCCAAGGAATACCCAGAGATTGCATTCGATCACATGATCATTGATAACTGCTGCATGCAGTTGGTGATGAAGCCAGAGCAGTTTGATGTGATGGTCACACCAAACCTCTACGGAAACTTGGTCACCAACGTCGGTGCCGCCCTGATCGGTGGTCCAGGTCTGGCCGCCGGTGCCAACGTCGGTGAGCGTGCCGCCATCTTTGAGATGGGTGCCCACCACGTCGCCGCCGACATTGCCGGCCAAGACAAGGCCAACCCAACCGGTCTGCTCCTGGCCTCCGCCATGATGTTGAAGCACATGAAGATGGACGAGCATGCCACCAAGGTTGAGAACGCCGTGCGCAAGGTCATCGCCGACCGCAAGGTGTTGACTCTCGACATGGGAGGCTCTGCTTCCACCAAAGAATTCACTAATGCCGTCATCAATGAGATCAATAACTAAATTAATTAGTTATTATTATGGCCATAATTGTTTATTTATGGATATGGAGTAGCAATAAACCAATCCAAGTACCAATATCATATTATATATATATAATAATAGTTATATATCTCGCTCGCACGATCAATCGATCAATCACTCTGTCGTCACCCGCCACTCACACTCACTCACA